CCCAATTTATCATTTGGAAAAACTAGCTTACTTGTTTATAATAATCAGATACTACCAAAATGCATTTTATGTCCTTAAAACTATGGCAGCTTTATAGTATCAGTAAACTCTTGGAAACTTGAATATTTGAAAGTGTAGAGGAATAAGTAATTTTGAGAAGTCACTATTTTCTTCCTAAAATCTATGAAGATTTTTCTTTTTATTGGAGTAGGATGTTCACTTGCAGAAACACAACCAGAACGTATTGGTTTGAGTACACAGAAATCAGCTAACTCACTCCTGGTTACTGTGCATGAAATGGTTTCTTGGTAGCTTATAATTTATTAATTTGGAGATACACAGATACATTCTAATTCTCCTGCTTTCCTTTTCCCCCTCTATCTCTTGTTAGGCTTAGTGGGCTTAGTTTTGTAGCTCAGTGGACAAGAGCATAGACTTTGGAGCTTTCAGATGCATGTTTGAGTTGAGCCTAGGACATTAATGTAACCTTGGGCAGGTTGCTTTCCCTCAAAGTTTCATTTTTCTCATCTGTAAGATGCATGAATAATTGAGAATTTCTATAAAATATAGATTATAATAGGGCTGTTTGAGTATTAAACAAGATAATGTATGTACCTAGCATAGTACCTGATGGAGAATAACTGCTCAACAAATGTGAGCTATTACTAAGCAGCTGTTCTTCCTGGGTAGTCTTCATTTTCTCTACAGCTTTTCTGGCCTCTTTTCTATTTCGAAACACCTCTTTGGCTGCCTATTGACTTGAGGGCATTTCTTTGCCTCTTGCCCTTATTTAATGCTACTTTGACGGCCCCCATTGACAGATTCTCTTGACAAATCTTTGTTCATTTGCTTGCCATTTTGTTTATTCAAAGATGGAGTGGAATGATTAAGAGCACTATGGAGCCTGCTTGCCTTGGTCCAAAAGCCACATCTCTAACTTAGAAACTTTGTGATCTTTGCAGGATAATTAACCTAATGGTTTTCTTGTGTGTTTAATGAATAATAATGACATCTACCTCATAGTTTTGATGTGGGGATATTAAATGTGATCAAATACATAAAGCAGAATAAATGCTAGCTGTTACTTATGAGCCAGGCTCATAGTTGCTGCTTAATTCAGCTGATCTCCTGGGGAGTGACTACCCTATATGTATGGCACTTTTGATGTTTGTTGTGTAAAATGAATCTTACGTATTGTACAGGTCACCCTAATAGAACATCATTAGCACAATAATAGTAACAGAGTGCAAAGAATACATATCATAATAAACCATATACATAGGAGATACTTATATATAATGTTTCTTAGGATTTGTTAGGGGAGGTATGTAGAAAGCAGCTGTATGCTATGTGAATTATGTGGTACTATGCTTGCGGCTTGGGACACTTTAAAAAAAAGATTGCGTGACAGTTTCAGTATGATATGAGCATTTTTATTTATTATATCCTATTCAGTGTTATCAAATTGCTGGCTTTTGATGGTCCTATGGTTTAATGTGAACCCAAGGGCCATTCAGAGACCAAATAATACTTACATAGCAGGATAATTCAGTTCTTCTTATATGCTTCTCAGTTGTTCTAGGCAGTATTTAATTAGTTCTTGTTTTTGAGTGTCATTATTGGCACAGTTTTTTTTTTTTTTTTTTGAGACAGAGTCTCGCTTTGTTGCCCAGGCTAGAGTGAGTGCCGTGGCGTCAGCCTAGCTCACAGCAACCTCAAACTCCTGGCTCAAGCAATCCTCCTGCCTCAGCCTCCAAGTAGCTGGGACTACAGGCATTCGCCACCATGCCCGGCTAATTTTTTGTATATATTAGTTGGCTAATTAATTTCTTTCTATTAATAGTAGAGATGGGGTCTCGCTCTTGCTCAGGCTGGTTTCGAACTCCTGACCTTGAGCAATCCACCCGCCTCAGCCTCCCAGAGAGCTAGGATTACAGGCGTGAGCCACCGTGCCCGGCCTTTTTTTTTTTTTTTGTATTATTTTTGATTTAAAGAGTAGAAAATTTACCATTGGATTGACAGCTACCACTGTGGAATTAGTTATTTACTGTCAGGGTGAGCAGTCTATGAATTTTCTTCTTACATCTGGTCTATAAGAATTTGCTGTAATTGGAACATTTTTTGTTAATACCCATTGGGCCAGATTCAACACTAACTTTTATTATAATGAATATAAATGTACATGCTTACAATTCTGAATGAGCTAGGGAAAAAGTTGGGAAAGTTAAGTAAATAAAATAGATTCATTAGAACCCTTTCCATAATCATGGAAATTAATCATGAAGGCAGTTTTTAGTATTAACTAAAAGTATAGTCTTTTAATAAAGTCAACTTCAGGATCCATTTGATGATTATTGTGGCAACGTTTTCCATGTTTCTTGATCATTTCTTGTTATTTTCCTAAAACACACATCTTAAAATGCAATGTGGGAGGTACAGTTGCTTATGATCACAAAAAGTATTTCATATAAATTGTTCTTAGATTCTTTAAAACATGGTTGGTTCATCTCCATTTTGCACAAATAATTGACAGTTTCATGTGATGAGATTAGAAGGCTACTGTAATCCAGAAAATACAATTGTTAAGAATTCATAGGAATCACATAGATATATTTCTAAGAAAAGAAATGTAAGGACTACTAGAGCTGAGCAGAAATGTAATAAGATCATCTGCTTATACTTTAGCAAAAGAGCTTGGTATGTTTTGGAAAAAAAAAAAAAAAAGAGCTTGGTAGTTAGAAACATGGCTCTGAAATTGAACAGCCTGGCTTTAAGTCATGCTGTGCCACTTCCCATGTGACTTTGGTTACTTAATGGCTCCATACCTGAGTCTCCCCATATGTAAATTGGGGATAGCATAGGTTGTTGTGGAGATTAAGTGAGATTATGTGTGTTAGATGCCCAGTGCAGTGTCTGGCACATATTAATAGTAAACTCTCAATAAACAGTTTATAAAATATCCACAATCAAGGAGTTGTTGCAAACCAGTCTTGTGTCATCTGTTGAAACAATCATACTGCTTGCTGGAAAAGCAGCTGAAGTATAATCTTGAATTTGTCAGCAACTGTAGGCGAGTTTTACTTGAGTAAAATGACTCATATGTTTGTCTTGGTTGTAAGTATCTGTTGTTGGCAATTTTGTCATTCAACCCTGCCCCCAAATGTGGGAATTACATTCATATTCAACAGCTAGTAATTATGTTTCTCTCCAGTAGTAATGGTATTTAAATATTGTTACATCACTTTATATCCTTTTCCTCTGTGAATCATTTTACACATAAATGTGGGAGTTACTTGTCTGATTTGGGGGGGTTCCAGGAAGTCAGTTATGATACTGCTTCTTTTACTTAAGACGTAAGGGACAGGAGACTGACAGATGGAGATCAAATTGTCTCCTCTGGTGGCTGTTGGAGGACATGGCATTAGATTTGAAGCGAAAGGCAACTTTAGTTTGCTTGACTTACTTAGACCTACCCACTGGGTGACTCACACAGCCAGACAACCCCAGGCCTCCCCTAAGGGCAGGCACCTTCCTGCTGGGAGAGCAGATCAGAGAGAACCTGCACCCAGGGGCAGGGAGTTGAAAGAGAAAACAGGAGCTGCCTTGCTTCTTCTAGATTTGTTGACCCCAGAAGTCTTTCTTGCCTCTTGGAGAGGAGTGAGGGGAGAGTGGAGAGTTGTCAAGTGTTGCCCTAGCTGAACTTCCTCCACATGGACTTGAAACATGATGGGAGCACACACAGTGGTGTGAACAGAACCATTCAGTGAAGGAAGTGAAACTGTGAGGCTCTGTGGGCAGCTTGGGAGCCAGATAAAGCAGAAGAGAAGGTTGGAACACAAACACATTACACAAGTCTCTGATGTCCTTCATCTTCACTGAGCGCCCCCTACATCATGTAAAATGCATATGAAGGACTTGTAAATAATTGGAAGTGCTAAGTTAAGGAAATAGATTGTGACTTTTCATGTCTGAATTTTAGAGTCTTAATAAAATTTTAAATTGCACTTTGAAATAGAATAAAAATTGAACAAATATATAAGAGAAAGCTAAGAATCTTTAGTAAGAGTGTACTTTTTACAGTGAAGGTATGTCTGGAAAATAGGTTATAAGTCTCATTTTAAACATAAATTGATATACTAAGTCTTGGTTGAATAATTCACTTTAGTGATTAATTTTGAGTAATTTTTAAATCCATTTTGAGAAATATTTAGTGAGCACCTACCATGTGCTAAGCAGTGTGATACATACTAGAAGTACCATGATGGATGAGAGACTGTCTTTTGTTCATGGAGGTTATAGTTTAATAGAAGAGACATGTAAATAAATATATTCAATAAAATATTATAGGTACTAAATGTGGAAATACAGTAGATCAAAAGAAGCAGTGGAGAGTTCTACCTTTATGGTAATGGACAGTGGTAAGGATGAACATATACAAGCAGTCTGCAATTTTTTATTCCATTTGAGAAAAAATTGTCTTCTCTATTATAATGAATTCTTGTCAGCAGTTGTTTCTAGGACTTTATAAATTATTTTATTTCTCCTCTTTCTAGAAATTAGGAAGCAAGTAATAGAAGCCCACCGAGGACTTGTTTTTAAAACTATAATTTAAATATTAGTTATAGAAATGTTAGATATCTACTGAGGGTGATGCTCTATGTTTAACATATTGGTGATACATCCTGTTCCTAATGACCTAAAAATATATGCCCACAGGCTGGGCACAGTGGCTCATGCCTGTAATCCTAGCACTCTGGGAGGCCTAGGTGGGAGAATCACTTGAGGTCAGGAGTTTGAGACCAGCCTGAGCAAGAGCAAGACTCCGTCTCTACTGAAAATAGAAAAAACTAGCCGGTTATGGTTGCACATAGTCCCAGACACTCAGGAGGCTGAGATGGGAGGATTGCTTGTGCCCAGGAATTTGAGGTTGCTGTGAGCTAGGCTGACGCCATGGCACTACGATCCCTAAGTGACAGACCAAGACTGTCTCAAAAAAAAAAAAAGGAGTCTGTAAAGTATAATTTAAAAAAATGTGCTTATAAACAACCTAACAATTGTACACTATTGATCTTTTCATTTGGAGAATAACAGGACTTTGGTGTATCCTTCCCAGCCCACTCACCCTACTTGCTTGGCTGCTGGGCTTCTATAGAAGAGTTTGAAGAAATATATTCTGCAAATCTAATGAAAAATTTAAAAACTATTAATTTAAAGCATGATATAGTGGAAATAATGATACTAATGCTGTTAGTGGCATAAGAGATATTTTGAATACAAAGGTATAAATCATTTGTGCCCATAATTAAAAGTTAAAAATTGAGGAACATTTAGGTTTATTTCTTTTAGACACTTCTGTTGTATTAGACAACAATGCATATTAAACTAGAGGAATGTGAAGATGTAGACAGAAACTTGTGTGTCTCTTGAAGAAGAAATCTAGGCATTCCCAAGGACTTTTGGGTTTATGGCACTGGTTCTTTCATATATGTATGTTGCTTTCATTTGCTATTGTAATTATTTATACTATTTTTATAATTGCAGCTATGATCAGGATCTTTTGTTGTTGTTCCCAAGTGAACATAAGAAAGAGGGAAGGGAGCCAAATGATTTTTCCAAGATTATTAAGCTAGTGGGGGAAGGAGGAACAAGATAAATCGGGTTTGAGGTTGTGCAATTTTTGAAAAGACACTTGTCCAATGTGGAATCAGCATAGTTATGAGAGCTCTATGAGGGACTGGGCTATAGTGCAGAGGAGCGAACATAGGGTTGGATTGTCAACCTTAAACAATGAGATTCAGAAAATGTGAAGTGGAGAGTTTATTCAAGCCCAAAGCTTGAGGGTGGCCAAATGGGAGGATAGACTCAAGTTGCCCTGAATATACACTCCAATTAGCAGCAGTTACAAGTGAGTTTTTAAGAAAAAAGAAGAGGTAGTTCCTAATTATTATCTAAAATTTACATTAAAATAATAAGCTACTGATTGGCTATTCTCATTGTTCTTTTTATCACAAATTTCAGGAACTTGTGGTCAATGGGTAAGGCTGCTAGTCAGGAGCAAAATGCCTTTAAACAGTTGCCCCCAGACTGCTCTGAGTTGTTTTTGTTTTCTCAGGATTATAGATGATCTCTCAGTAGAGGGTGGGGACAGGGATAAAGGGACAGGAGGAAATCCTGGACCAGTTCTTCTCACAGGACTCTTGGCTGGTAAGTTGGCTTAGCATATCCTGGGAAGCTATGTCAGAATAAGCTGTTTTAGGTATCAAGTATATTGTAGCCTTTAGGTGCCCATATTTCATCTCATCTTGCCCAGAATGACCACTCAAAACAATTGGTATTCCATGTTCTCTTATTGCTGGTGCACCTTCTTTTACCTTGTTTGTTTTTAGTTTAAGCTTTGATGTTGATCTTCTCACTACGTTTATTCCTCTGAGCATTCCTTCCAACCTTGAATCTACACCATGACAGAATAGTGGTGTTTATTAATATCTTAACGTTTAAAGCAATCTTTATTCTTGACACATCTTAGTCCATGGTACATAGGAAAGCGATCACAAATAACCAAAACCATGATTGAGAGGCACCATTGACTTTGCTTGAAAGATGAGGTGTAATTTAGTAACTCAAGGTAAGACATAAATAACTTATTCAGACTACTTTAGGAAAAAAGAGCATTTGCTACATGAATCCATTGAACTGGAAATGAAAGCCATCATGGACTGAAGCATAGAGCTGCTTCAGGGATGGGCTGTTCTGTCTCTTTTGGGCTACACGGTCTCTCTAGTGGTGACTCTGCCTTGCTCTGCAGCTCAGGTACTGTTTTCTTTGCACCAGCTACTTTTTCTCTGCTTACTGGTAGTTTCTGCTTCCTCATTTTTCAACTTGCCTTTGGTCATCATTATCTGTAAAGCTCTTTAGCTCATGCTTTACATATTTTATATATATATAAAAATTTATATTTTATCTTTAGCTCCTAGCCACAAATAAAAATGATAAAATTTATATTTTATCGTTAACTCCTAGTTCAAATTCCTAAGAGGACTGGTTGAATAAATTATGTTAATACTTTAGGATACTTTATAGCTGTGAAAAAGGTTCCTCGCCTTTTCTTGCTTCTGGTGGCTGTCTGCTTTCCTCAAGCTGCCGACCAGTCCTTGAGTCACTCCAGCCTCTTGTGTCTGCCACACCTCCTGCTTCCTCCTTTGATCTTCTCACCTCCTGTGTAAGGATTCCTGTGATTACATTGGGCCACCTGCATGATCCAGGATAATCTCCCGATTTCAAGATCCTTAACTGAATTACAGCTGCAAATCCCTCTTGCCATGTGAGGTGACATTTACAGGTTCCACGGATTAGGATGTGGACATCTTTGGGGGAAGGGTTGTGGGCATCTGTAGCTTACCACACCTTGTAATATCTAAGTTTTTCCCACTCTCTAAACATCTGAGATCTTTTGCTTTAGTTGAATGTTACAACTGGGTTTAGCTGAGCATAAACTTAATTCATTGGTGTCCAGCTAAGTGTAATTAATGTTCACAGGCATGCCTCTGACAAGGCTGTTACTTTTGCAAAGTGGTTTCCAAATTGTACGTTCCTACCCATTTAAAAGAAAAAGGGAAACAATGAAAGGAAGAAGAAAGGAATAAATAAAACAGAATGGAAAATTTCACAGTGCCATCTTACAGTGCTTACAACATAGTGCCTCATGAAACATTTGTTTCACTTGTATGTGTGTAGTGTGTTAAAAATGTCCAAAACTACTGCTTTAGTATGTATTTGCTTACTGTCTGAAACAGGGGCTGCAGGTTTCATGTTAAAAATTATCATGAAAAATTACATTAAGATATAAAATGTGTATGAGAATAGCATTCCTACTTAGCTTTAGTTTAATGTTTTAAATAAATTTTTTCTTTGTTGTTCCATGATAAGTTTTGTTAAAAGTGCTAAGAAAGTGGCTAATTTTGAAGCACAAGATTAAGGCATGTTATGAAGCTGCTTGTTTAAAGCCCCTGTTTGTTATTTGATGGAATGCTGGGTGTAGGCTGGTATGGTTCATGGTTGGGATCTAGCCTGAAAGACATGTTTTCACCCTCAACAAATATCATCTTTGTTCGAATATCCATGTGATCACAGCAAGATCTTTTTTCCTCCCCTTAGAAAAGGACAGAATGCATCTGAAACTTTTTCTTTCTTATGCTTGTTTCACAAATAGTTTAAAGTAGAGCTGCTTTCTCCTTTCTTTGTTTTAGTTAGTTGCAGAATGTGTGAGGTACCATCTAATGCTCTTGGTGTGTTCAAGAACTATAAAATAATAATGAAATCTTGGAATAGATAAGTTACTCTATGAGGACTGAAGCTTTAGTTAATTTCCAAGGTCAGACTGATTATCTAACAAAGGGTAAGGTACTTTTAAAATTGATACTGTTGATGTTTTTAACACTCAAAAGTCAAAGTGTGCACTAGGAAAAATGGTCAGCTGTTAATTTGTCTTATTGAATTGAATTTGATTAAGTTAATTTTAATTAAGTTACTTTAGTAACTTAATATATGAATTTTTCATTATCATTTGTGGCTAATTTAATGACTCTAAGATATTAAAACAATGCTGCCTTTAAATGTAATTTAGGGGGATACTTGATTCTGAAAGTTCTTGGGAATTTAGATTTAAATGGATTTAAATCATATAGTTGTCAATTTTTAAAATACTTTTAAAATACTATAGTTGCCATTTTCTTCTGTAAATTTATGCCCAGAGATATTTTTCTTGTATACTTGAGTATTTCCTATGTGCTTGAGCATCCAAACATCTTCTGATCCGTACTGCCTAAAATATGCCTTATACTTTGAAACTTTGTTATATTGGATGTAAAGTTAATAAAAGTAATTAGATTTAATTTGGTTTGAATAATGTAATTAAAAATATTCTGGTAAAATAAGAGGGCTGATATTTAAAGTGTTGATCCACATATTTCTAATACATGGTTTTATTTTTAATGTTAGGAACTTTTTCTTTGGCTACGTTTATTTTAACAATAATGTTGACTTTTTAATTACCATGATATTTTGGCAACAAGTGGGATTGCATTTCAAACCAATTTTTCCAAATAAACTTTTACTAATTATGGATTTATCATGCAAGGAGAGCATGAAGATGCAGTGTGAATTGTTGGAATAATGCCCTGATTAAATTTTTATTTGGTGATGATGTGGTATAAGTACCAACTAATACCGCAGTTATTGTTTAATAGGTGCCTGAAACTTTGTTCACACTTGTACGAAGATACAGACAGCTGTTGACATTGTTTGTGGTTTTGGGACAAACTCCTTGTTCTTTCAATGGAATTTCTAAATAAGCAATCAGAATGAAACCAAAGGAAGTATTCTAGTGTAATTCTTAGTAAACTACTCAACCACAGATCAGATAGTGTGAAACATAATTTAACTTAGTGAATCCTGCAAGAGGATAGGACTTTTTACTCTATAAATGATTGCCTCACAGTACAGATTATTAAATAATGTCTCTAAACTCAGTATTGGGAAAATTGGCACTTCCATTTAGTCTCTTCAAAGAAGTAAATTTGGCTATATTTTATGAAATTAGTTTGACTTTAAATCTACTCTTTCTAGAATACATTTATTAGTATTAAAAAATTCCATGCCCATGGGGAAATATAAGAATGAGAACTTTCTAAGGGAATTTAGAGATTTAGAACTCATTTATTTGATTTAGAGTCACCTGTTCGAATCATGTTAAAGTACATCATCATCTTTGTCCCAGACGCGCGCTGGGTGGCAAACATGATCTGTGTAATGCTTTATATCTTATACTTTGCCATAATGAAGTTTTCTTGGGATACTTTGCATCTTTCCTTCCCAACTCCATACCATGCCCAGTTCTTGTCTTACACTTTTACACTTTTCATGGTTATTTTGGAGATGTAATTGAGACTCCTAGGACTGGCAGCAGGAATAAAGGACTGGTGTAAAATACATTGCAAGAAAGCATTCATCTATTGAATTTGGACTGATCACCAAAGAAATTCATGCATAGCAGCTCTGATTAGAGTTTAATAAGTAGTCAAGTTCCCTCGTTTGAATTTAATTTCTATCAATTTGCTTTCCTTGCCTTTTGGTAGAAGTGTGAGTGTAATGTTTTAAAACTGGGCAACAGAAGAGGGAAAAGGAATTGACAAAGCCTCCTGAGTCTAACATAGGGTGATGAAGATGTGTGTAGTTGAGTTGATTAGCTCAGACCTGTGTTTGCATTAATTGATTGTGAAAGTCTACACAACTAATCTGTACTTTTATTTTATTGAATCATTCTATTTACTTATGTATTCACACTTCCCCCAAAGGAAAGCATATTGACATTTTGCAGTTTAACTGAAAAAAGTGGTGACATAAATATTTTTTCCCAAATAAACTTTTAAAAATGTACGGATTCCAATTTTCTGTTTTTACTGTTATAAACAACCTTGTGCTTGTTTGATTTTCTCATTGGAATAAATTCTTAGGGGTAGAATTGTTGGGAAAAAGATGTGCTCATTTTTAAGATTTTTGACACATTATCAAATTACTTCCCAGAAAGATTTTATACATTTATATGTTTATCTTCACTGTAAGGAACTGCAGATTTCCCCACATTGTTATCAACATTGAGCAACGTCAGTTACATTTTTGGTTAGTCTAAGATAGGTGCAAAGTGATATTTTAAAATTCATATTTCTTTAGTTACTAATGAGGTTGATTTTTTTTTTCTGTGTCTTGGTTTTTCAAATTTAGATTTTATTTTTATCAGAGCCATATTTGGCTTAAAGATTCAGCAAACTGTAAGACTTGTTTTGAAAGTAGCAGACTCCCATATTCCTCCCTGCTCCCTGCCTACTCCATGGAAGTAACCACACTCCACTCCCCTGGCTGATCCTTTTTCTGTTTACCTGCACAGCACCAGGTAACACGCCTCTGTTACCACTTCTGCTTCTTCTGTTCTAGGTGTTTCCATTGGTTTCCTGCTTTGGAGAATGAAGGTTTGGTTTTCCACTCTGAACCCACCCGTGCCACACACATGTGCACATCCCTTCACTTTCCAGGGGTTTCACCCCTTTAATCAACTCCCTTGTTTTTAACTCACCCTTACCTCCTCTTAGGAATCACCATTTGCTGGGCCTTTGAGGGACAGGATTTCAAGAATCTCTGCATTGTCATTTTAGTGGGGTTCTAAGAGAAATGAATGTAAAAGTATGTTCCATCTGCCTTCTTTAACCAGAAGTCCTTTTTCATGTCTTTACTAATCATTTTTATAAAGTAGTGGTTAAAACTGTGGGCTATAGGGTCAAAACTATTTGGATTTGAATCCTGATTTTGCTATTTGCTAGCTTTGTGACCTTGGACAAGTTGTTTAAGATCTCTGACCTCATTCTTATAAGCCTACATCAATATGTACGATTTATGGTGATACGTTACTCTAGGGTGTTGTGAGAATTCAGTGCGGGGAGGCAGAGTAAAGTGCTTGGCCCAGAATCTGCTGCCTGGCAGTACCTCACTTTCTGCTGGGCACTTAGTAAGAACGCAGTAGAGTTGTTGCTGCTATTGTCACTCTTGTGAATTTCTTGCTTGTAACCTTTGTTTAATTTTCCATTGAAATGCCATCTTTTTCTTCTTGATCAGAGATGCCTTTCATACAGTCTGTCATTGATTTTTTTTTTTTTTACAGTACTTTGGATCTGTAATCATATTCACACTATTTCATGTTCTGATCTGTACTATTGTTGTTAGATTTGTGTTTTTGTAAGACACCTAGTGCTGATAAGGAAGAAGGATGTGTGTGTATGCATGTGTCCCTTTGTGTTGCCTGCACACACGTGCGGTCATAAAACTGGAGCCATAGAGAACAGTTAGGAGATTATTATAGTAGTTGAGGCTGTTGATAAAGGGACCTGAAAGGCTAAATGAAGACATGATTATTTTCATCATGTAAGGTAATTTTTTTTAACTCCTGAAATATACCTTGGGCTAGTTTATTTTGTAGAGATCCAAATTCCTTTAGTTTTTAAAAGCCCTTTTGAATGTTCCTCTCTCACATTTAAGGGGGTTTCATCTGCAAAGTTAGAACTTTGAGTTTTAGTTTCTTCAGTACCCATTTCTATGAAATTTTAGATCCAAAATTGATTCTTGAGACATAAGATTTATCGTGTCCCTAAGTAAATGGCTGTTAATAAATGTGCTTTCTTTTGAATACCATATATGTTGTCATTCCAAAGGTGTAGTTACAGATATATAACTCATTCTTTTACATTTATTTGATTTGATTTGTCATTTTAAGCAGTATTGGTTTTTTTGTTTTATTTGTCTTAGTTTTATAATTATTAACTTTATATGCTTCTTTGAATAACACTTCTAAATTTGTTCTCTCCACAGATTCAGAACAGGATGTAGCACTGAAACTAGCTCAGGAGCGAGCTGAAATAGTTGCTAAATATGACAGAGTAAGTATCCATATTTACTCTTTGAAAGTTTTATTAGAAAAACCATATAAATAGAAATGGATTTGCTTTTTGGAGAGCTTAAATTACAGAAGCACTTTGTTTACTTCATGGGAACATAGAAGTCATCTTTTTTCTCTGACTTCATCTCCAAATTCTCCCTCCCTCTTCTCCTCTCCAGCCACTCTAGTCTCTTGCTGTTTCTCTGACACACAAGGCTTGCTCCTGCCTCAGGGCTGTTGAGGCAGGCTGTTTCTTCTGCCTAGAATAATTTTATCCTGGACACCTCCTGCCTCATTGTCTTACCTCTTTCAGATCCTTACCCATCTTAGTGAGATCTTCTCTGACCTCCCACCTCTCTGTTTAACACTACCCCATTTACCCCCCGGCACTCTGTAACCCCTTTATTTTCCACTATAACCCATATTACATCAACGTACTATATATTTTGCTTATTTTGTTTGCTGTCTGCTCTCTCTCCCAGAATGTAAACTCTATATTCCAGATAAGAATTTCTTTTGTTTGGTATATTTTTATATCCCGAATACCTAGAACAGTTCCTGCCTCATACTAGGTACTCAATAAATACTTGAATAAGTGAGTATACAGAATTAAATACCCATGGCATTCATATTTTATATGTGCTATTATAAATTTGCCTTGTTTCTTAGATTTTGGATTTATGCATTTATATGTAATTTCCATTAGCATTTTATCCTTATGTTAATGTGGAATCGGTTTTGTGATGTCCTAGAAAACCATGTAGTTTTTTTTCTTTGTGTTCTTATTTGTTGCCTTAACCTCCTGACATCTACAATGAGTCCTAGCAGTGATTTATAAATGTTGTGTTTTACATTTGTGTCACTTGTGTGTAATTATATATCTGTTATTTTTTATTATTTGTGAGGATAACAGAAGCATGAAATTATAGAAAGCCATCTGGGCTGTGCTTTGCCTCCATGGGGTGTACTGTTCAACCGAACAGTTCCGTTCCCAGAATTCGTTTTATGTTGGTTGTTTAGAACATCAGACAGTTTCCCATTATTGTCGTTAGGTTTTACCATATTCCAGGAAGAACATAGTTAACTTATTTAACTGCTTAACTAGTTTAAAACCAATAGCACTATCATTCATCCGTGCTTGCGTGCATTTTTCCCCGTGAACGTGGGCTAGCCATCGTGCTAGCACTTGGGGATTCGTGGTACAGACATGAGTGGCAGCAGTCTTCGTCCACTTGGTGCTCCCAGTCTACTCAGAGGAGAAAACATGAGCAGACAATTGTAAAATATACTCAGATGGAGATGTCCACAAGACAGCTGGGTGTTTGAGTCTAAAATTTGAGGGCTTGGTGTAGACAGTTACATTTGGGGTTTCTACTTCAATCAGTGTTAGTTAACAGCCTGGAGTGAGAGGAACAGCGAAGCAGTGAAGAGTTGCCCATGAGAAAGCATCACACAGACAGTTGGAGGGGGTACAAGGAGACCCTAAGAGAGGACAACCTTCTGAAAGTTGGGGAGGAGGTAGTGAATGCCACTGATGAGTGCACCTCCAAGATCTGCCAGCTAAGGACTGCAGAGCATCTGCTGGGGCTAACAAAACTGAAAGGTCATTTTTGACCTCGGCAAGAGTAGTTTCAAGGCTGATTTAACTGTGAAGTAAAGAAGTAGAGAAAGTGAGTATTCTACTCTTTTGAGAAGTTTGTATGAAAAGGCAAGAAATATTTTTTCTAAGACATGTTTTGACCTAAAACTTTTTTTTTTGAGACAGAGTCTTACTCTGTTGTCCTGGGTAGAGTGCAGTGATGTCTTCATAGCTCACTGCAGCCACAAACTCCTGGGCTCAAGTGATCCTCCTGCCTCAGCCTCCCGAGTAGCTGGGACTGCAGGTGTGTGCCATCACGCCCAACTAATTTTTCTATTTTTGGTAGAGACGGGGTCTTACTCTGGCTCAGGCTGATCACTCCTGGGCTCAAGCAATTTCCCTCCTCAGCCTCCCAGAGTGCTAGGATCATAGGTGTGACCCACCTCGTCTGTTGTGGTCTAAAACTTTGAAGTGTGGCAGTTCCTCCTTGAGTGGTTTTCCCATCCTCCATGCTCCTCCTTCCTCGTCAACTCCCCTCGGGAACCCTGGTGTGATCAAGGTTTAGCTCTGTGTCTGTCAGCTATTGCTGACACATCGTGTCTCCTATCACTCATAGCTGGGAAATGGTGACTGTATTGCCAAAAATAGTTGGGTTTAAAGGGAAAAAAATGTTAAATAATGCCTCATTTCTAGCTCCTATTGTTAACATTACAGTTTTTAAAAGTTCTTATTTATTGTTTTTTTAATGGCAAAAAATTATTCAGCTTTATAAACTCTCAATAACATGCCTTTCGTCCCTTATTTTAGGGACGAGAAGGTGCAGAGATTGAACCCTGGGAAGATGCTGATTACCTTGTTTACAAAGTCACGGATAGATTTGGCTTTTTACAGTAAGTCCCATAGACTGAAAGCTAACTTTTTAAATTATAATGTTTCAGTGGTATTGGTTTTATTTATTTTTAATAGAATTGCTGTGTATAAGGTTCCAGGAGTAGTCCTACAATATGCTTTTTGGCAATAATTTCCTGGCATTTTTAACCGCTATGATTAAAATTTAAGTATAGTTAAGAATACAAATTTTTAATATTATTTGTATTTTAGTAAGAACATTAAATGCAGTAAATGAGTTGTATTAATAATTTAGCAGAATTAAATGCAAACGGATAATTTGTATTTTTAAAAAATATATAAAACATTTTATTTTACATTAATGCATTTTAAAAATAATTAGCAACTAGAACTTTAGTGTTATGCAGCCTAAAAATGAGCATTGAGAAGAAATGCCATTGATCCTCCTTATAGCCATAAATGTGTTCATGATAATGCTTCTCAAAATTAATTCCATTTATCCTGAGTCTGTATAAAAGAGTTAAGAGAGGTCTACACCATTATAAAACAAAGCAGTTAAAGTGATTTTGACTCTTAAAAACATCCTGCAAATGATGTGAATATGTCTATTCTGGTTCTGGCATTGTTTGATCAGATTCCCACAGGCTGGAGACTCTTATTCATATCTATACTTTGGTTCTGTGTAGTTTAGGGATTAATGAACTTTTCATTCAAATGTGCTCTTTTCTAGTTTCATTTATTACAAATAGGAAAAAATGCCAGGAATTTTTATTTCATAATATATGATTAAATTTTGAAGGAAAAACATTTCTTGTATAGCTCATAGCAGTAATTTACAGTACTCAGATCTTATTTTCTTCTGTGGTTTTTTTTTTTTTTTCCTGCATTTAGAATTTATTTTGTTTATTGTGTCTTTCTGAGAGTAAAACAAGTATCCAGACAAACAGTTGTAGGAGTTAGAGAATGAGTGCTCTTGTGGCTTTGCTGGTCTCTGGTCAGTTAACCATTTCATGCTTCATCTTTAAAACAGGAATCAATAACTTCTTTACATACCTTAAGTGTATTTGAGGCTTTAAAGAAATAAAATGTAAGAATACTTTATAAAGTTTTGGACAAATATAAGGTGTTATAATATCTAATTCCATTAGCATATCTGAAGCATTCTTAGTAGTTATAATCAGAAGACTTACAACTTCAGTATACTAACATCAGTATTTAACTATGATGAAAATACTGTTCTTAAATTAAACCCCTCACCTCCACTTTTTTTTTTAAATCAAACTTGGTGACAGGAAGCGATTGCATATTTGTGTGGGTTGGTGGGCAGATATGAGATATGTGAAGGAATTTTTCAAGGACAGTTTGAGTATAAAGGCTTAACATCAGTGGGTCCCAAACTTGCCTGCATGTTAGAATCGGCTGGGAAATTAAAAAAAAAAAAAACTAGATTTCTGGCTCCTTTCCTAGATTTTGACTCAGAAGATAGGATGCAATTCAGCTGATTTTGACCTAAGTATTTCTGATGGGAGTGAACTACTGTAATAATGTTTTTTTTTTAAATTATAAAATGGCTCAATACAGTATAAGATACATATGAAAAACTTGTGCTTTCTATAAGAGTCTCTTAATTACCTAAATTTTCTTTTCTTGTTGCTTGAAACAACATGAGCCGATGAGCTGGGCCTTATAGGTTCTGGCCTAAGAGCCTAGCCTGTATTTGGCAATCTAAAAATTGCAGACAGTTCTTTTGTGTTTGTTTTTTACTCTCTATGCTAAGGTCCATTTGGCTCTAGTGGGAGAAAAAGTCTGTCAATAACCTATCTTAATAATATTAGCTGACATTTATTGTGCATTTACTGTGTGCCAGGCTGTTCTAAACTTTTTACATGGAATAACTTGATTATTCCCCTCGAAGGCTCTTTGGGTTAGGTACTTTCTCTCTTCCTCCTTTTAGATGGTGAAACTGAAGCACAAAGAGGTCAAGTAACTTGCCTGTGTTATGCTGACAGTGAGTGCCAGCTCTAGGGCGCGGACCTTGGCAGTCTCACTGCAGAGCCTGTGTGGTTTTTTTGGGGGGGGGCACAGTCTCACTTTGTTGCCCAGGCTGGAATGCTGCGGCGTCAGCCTGGCTCACAGCAACCTCAAACTCCTGGGCTCAAGCAATCCTCCTGCCTCAGCCTCCCGAGTAGCTGGGACTACAGGCATGCGCCACCATGCCTGGCTAATTTTTTCTATATATGTTTAGTTGGCGAATTAATTTCTTTCTGTTTTTAGTAGAGATGGGGTCTCGCTCTTGCTCAGGCTGATTTCAAACTCCTGACCTTGAGCGATCTGCCTGCCTTGGCCTCCCAGAGTGCTAGGATTACAGGCATGAGCCATCGTGCCCTGCCAGAGCCTATGTATTGAATGGCTACAGTATACTAACCTGTTATGCTTTCTTGTGTTTTGAATAAGCACAACACAGAATAAGTGCTGTGAAATGCCTACGAAGAATGTTAAAGGGGGCAAAAGAGTGCCTAAAGAGAAGGATGCTGTTTGGAAGGATCACTGCTATTGAGATGTGCACTAAGATAGCTAATCTTACCACTTCTTTGAAAATGAAGCGGATTGGTGCCAGTTCTCGTGCTGTCACACTGAAGTTATTTATTATTTACTCCATAACATGGTCCTAAAGTAGGCAGCACAAATTAAAACAATGAAGCATAGGGATGGATATTAGGTAATGTTAGGCTCTATTAAATTTCACCAAAATCAGTGATTTCTGTTACAATGCCTAATTTAAGTAAAAACATTTCTCCAAATATTGTTGCTAGTGGCTTTTATTGCTTGTCACTGCAGACTGGAGTTTTTTGCACTGTTGAATAAAGTCACTTGGTGTAGGCATTTAGATACTACTCCCTGTCATACCTTGATCAAAGGAGCATTTCTTTTACTGTCTTAGTTCTTTGTAATTTTTGATTGGTTCTGCAATGAAATTGGAGTTTAGGTGTCAGTGTCAATATAATAAAGTGGCAAAAAATAACTTTGTATCCTTTGTTGCCTGATTTCATATCTAATTATAGTTTTAGAAACTTAAATTACCTATTATGATATGTGAAGGAGTGACAGTAATTAAAAAATATAGTATAGGACTAACTTGGTTTTATAACAGATTTCACAATGACCATTAAAGCCATTGCCAAACCAGCCTGGCTTGATGCTAGTACCCAGCATTGGGGTGTCGCCCCAGTCTGTGTGCTTGTGCTAGAGCTGCAGCTGGAGAGGGGAGAAATAGAGCTGGTTTAAGGAAAAAGTTGGAGAACTTTAAACATTTGAACTTTAAACAGTTTAAACAAAAATGCTAACTGCTAGTCTGTTCAACAGAGAATGCTTGGTATTTGGATAATGACAGATAATGCTTTTAGGCCACAAGTTATTAATAGAAGAATGAGAAGGAAATTGTACCAAAAATAGAGAAGATAAAATTAATACTAAACCCCAGATTTTCAACTGTTAATCAAAATGTGTATATTGGTAAAATTTAGCAGACTAACTGTAGTTTACCTTGACTATATGAAATGATTATATATGTAAGCCAGAATAAAGGTGTGTTTGTTCTTTCAGAATATCTGTTTTGATTACAAGGGCTTGAGAACTCTTTCTACCAATCCTATAAATTTTGACTAGAGTAAATCTGAACTTAGATAAAATTACTTCAAAAACAGAAGTAAAATTTAGTCAAATATTCAGCTAATTGATTTTAACAAGCTAAGTTTTAAGTTTTGAAATGAGAGTTTATCTCAAAGTTAACAGAAATACTCTACCTGAGCTGTTTCAAAGTTTAATAGTAGATGAAAAACTATATCCAGATGACTACGTTGCTGTTTTCACTTACTGCGTTTCTGAGATACAGGTCTTTGCTGTTAGCTTGGAGTTCTCTTAAAGCAGCCTTTAGGTGCCCTTAACATGTTCTCTAAAGCAGGGGTTGGCAAACACTTCCTGTAAAGAGCCGGATATTAAGTATTTTTGGCTTTGTGAGCCATATGGCCTTTGTCACAGTTACTCAACGGTACCATTGTAACATGAGAACAACCATAGACAGTACATAAATGGATGAATGTGGCCATGTTCCATTTGAACTTTATTTACAAAAACAGTCAGTGGGTTAGATTTGGCTCCTGGGCCACGGTTTGCTGGCCTGAGGGAACACTCTGCACTCACCCAGCTTGTGCCCTCCTCTCTTCTACTTGAAGGATGTTTAGGTGGCAGGTAAAGATGCATCCCTGAACGCAGGCGTGTCTTCCTCCTCCCGTTCATACAGTCCGTCAGCAGCACCTGCTGAGTTCCATCAGCGTGCTGGTGTGTGTGTTCTGGACACTACACCGAGCTCTTGATCAGGCAGCAGCAGCTTCTCCTTGGAAGACTGTGAAAATTTGCATATGCCACACAGGGACTTGAGGAGGAAACGTTCTGTGGAGATTGGTGTGTGCACACAGCAGATTCTCTATGAAAGCTTTTAGGTATGAAGGAATAATGCAAGAAAATCTGTGTAGGAAAACTGGACCACATTCCTGCTCTATCATCCATGTGTGAGGTCTGAAGAGTTTTTGTTTTTAATCCTTAAAACTTTCTTTTCTTCTTGAGAATTGGTTTCTCATCCTCCATCCCCTTTATTCATATACTCCTGCATGATCTGAAGTTGAACCTACTGGATTAGATAGTGCTGAAGAGCTGAGTGACTAAGTGAAAGTGTTATTATAGTTTTATTATCTGGGAAATCAGGGATTTGCACTGTCTCCCTAAGATAGATCTCTTTTGGCTGTTATACTTTTCTGTCAGTTCCATTGCTGTGGGTTAGTGGTTCACCTAATAACTTTTCAGAGTAGCAAAAGAATGCCTTTGAAAGTATTGAACTCTTCAATATTAATCTATCATGCTCATAAAAGTGGGGTGGGGTACTATTTGGTCTCAAGAGAAGCTTAAGGCAAGGATAAGTACATATTGTTGCCAAAACATCAATACTATTGAGAAAGCTATTCAAAGCACACAACTTTGTTTATGGATAGCATGTTGTTTTTATATAACTGACAGTTAATACAAGAATCTCAGAATATTTTATATTAGAGATGATACCACAAATGTACTATATCAGAGAAATGAATTTGATCTTTTAGTGTATATTTTAAAAAATCATCTCTTAAAGTTTTGACAATGAAGCATTCTTTATTGTACAGAATAAAAGTGGAAGTTTTCTTTTTAATTCACAAATCTGTTGGAGGCAGGTTTTTTTCCTTATGCTAACCTTTTAAACAATCATTTATCATAGGCTATAATTTGAGCTGAGAGTAGAGGTAGTGGTCTGAAGTAAAGGTTGGTGAACTATGGCTCTAGCTCAGCACCTGTTTTTGTAAAACTGTGGGAACAAAGCCACACTTGATTTACGTATTATCTGTGGTTGCTTTTACACTACAAGGTCAGTTGAATAGTTGTGAAAGAGACTACATGGTTGGCTGGGGGAGGTGGCTCATGCCTGTGATCCTAGCACTCTGGGAGACCAAGGCAGGCAGATCACTCAAGGTCAGGAGTTCGAAACCAGCCTGAGCAAGAGCGAGACCCTGTCTCTACTAAAAATAGAAAGAAATTAATTGGACAACTAAAAATACATACAAAAAATTAGCCAGGCATGGTGGCACATGCCTGTTGTCCCAGCTACTCGGGAGGCTGAGGCAGGAGGATTGCTTGAGCCCAAGAGTTTGAGGTTGCTGTGGGCTAGACTGACACCATGGCACTCTAGCCCAGGCAACAGAGTGAGACTCTGTCTCAAAAAAAAAAAAAAAAGACTGCATGGTCCATAAAACCTCAAATATTTACTGTTTATATATTTACCTTGACAACAAAAGTTTGTAGATTCCTGGTCTAGAGCAGTGCTGTGCAGTGGTACTTTATGCAGTGAGGGAAGTGTTCTGTTTCTTCCCTGTCCAGTACAGCAGCCTTTAGCTACATGGCTTTCATTCACGTGAACTATGGCTAGTGAGACTGAGTAACACAATGTTAACTTTAATTTTAATTTACATTTAAAATTAAAGAGCTACTTGTGGCTAGTGGCTACTGTATTGGACAGTATAGATCTGGAGTTTTGAAGATAGGGGGCGCTGTGGCTACAGAAGAGCTGTTTTATGTAGAATTCAATGGAATGGAAGCGTATGTAACTCTTGTGATGACAAATAAATATTAAACATCATATGTACCCATAGGCATATAATTTTTTAAGAGTTTGCTATAATATCACTATTTCACATATATTATTTTTCCTCTGCAGTGAGGAGGAGCTCCCATATCATAATGCAGCTATGGAACGGGTAAGTCCAGCTCTTGACTTATTTATAGTTACTGGTCAGTTGCTTTTATTAGAGGACTAAAATTGACTGCTTTTGTGATTTTTGAGTGCCATATTGAAATGATGCAGTCATTGTTAGAATGTAACCCTAATTTTATCACTCTAAGAAAGTAATTAAACTAATGGTGAAATAATTTTAGGAGATTTTATGAGATTCTGATATATACTTGAAAGTCAGGAAAGCTAGTAGTTACCAGAAGACTTCATTCAAGACTGTGAGTTCCCAGTCTAGCTGTGCTTCGGAGTATAGAGTCTTTTGAGAGCACTCTTCTGTCTGTGGAATCAGCCTCTTTGGGGCAGGGGTGTGGACAGGTAATTTTTAAAAAGCTTCACAAGTGATCATCATGCACTCTCTGGCTAATAAAATACCATTCTAGACCAGTAACTCTTTGGAACATGAGATTTTAATAAATTTCCCACAAACAACAATAAAAAAAACATTTTCTGTAGTCAAATAAGTATGTTAGCATTTTAAGGACTTATGGAAGTGTTACATAGTAAACCTGTGAACATTTTTTTAACCTTTCCTCATTATACTTAGCAAGGAGCTGGTTCCACACTTCAGTGTCATAGGAAGTAGTGATTGAATGTTTGAAGCTTGTTCAGAATCTCCCTCCTTCCCACTTTTTCTGTACCAAAAAATGAATTGTGGTATGAAAGTAGGGCTGTCGATTGGGATTCTTCATGTGTGATGGGGACAGGGCTGAGTTTTAGATAATGAAGGTGAAGTGGAAATTGGAATTTGAAAAATATTTTAGAAAATCTTTCTAAGATCAAAATTTTCTGAAAATCAAAACAGTAGCAAATCCTTAAATATAGACAAAATTGGCATTTTATATATAGAGAGATCCCCCTATAGGCACTTCCTGCAGTTGAATTCTCTTGTGACAGCCAGGTATTCTCTCAACATCATAACCTAGATATCTTGACAAATGAATTTCTTTCTTTTAATAACTACATTATTGAGTAGCAACTATGTAACAAGTATTGGACTAAGTACTTATAGAATAATGGGATTAAATAAGACATAGTTTCTGCTTTTGACAAGTTCATTGTCCAGTGACTAGAGGAAGGTCAGGTGAGACAATAGGTGGGAGATTATTGGTGGCTTTGGGGGTGTAGTATTAGTGAAATGAAATGGCAGTGCTGGTTAGGGGAGGGCAGGTGCTGTGTAGCCAAGGAATGAATGAGAAGGAAATGTCGAATACTGGCGAGCAATTTGTAAATTCCACGTTTGTTGAACTTTGCATCCGTCTCCTTTGAGTGGGAGCATAAGGATTTGTCCTGCCTTCTGACAATCACCTTGCTTGTCCAGTTTCCTGACTTCACTAATCCTTGGGCCCCACTCTTGCCTCTTGCTCACTGATACCCCTGGAGTACACTCATGTCTCCATTCCCCTCTTCTCTCCTAGCTCAAAGTTTATTGCAGGCCGTTGTAATGACTCGCACGTACCTTTAATTTCTTGCCTTTCTTGCCGCTTTTAAGCTAAACTGCAACCCGTCAGAGCCTTCTTCCTGCCTCTCCAGTGCCTGCACCTGCACAGCTAAGTGCACCTGGAAAAGACACACACCCGTGCTGACCGGTTTTACTTGAAATTCATCATTACAAACCTCAGCTGGGCCATTAATGCTGCCTGGGAGTCCCACTGTTGACATGCTCTCCCACTTCAAACTTCCAGCACCTCCTTCTCTGTCCTTTCTCCCTATCCTTTCTTCCATGTTCTTGCTTCTTATTTCTTAAGAAAATCGAAGCAATTGGAAGAGCACGTCCACTAGCTCCCCCCGCCCCCTTCTGTGCCTGTCTGTGCTGATTACTGTGAGTACATACGTTGCTTATTCAGGGACATGACTAGCTGATCTTCCCTCTCTCTGCTGAATTCTTCCTCTTTCTACTTGATTGTTCCCATAAGAGTATACTCTATTATTATTACTCCCATAAAAAATCTTTTATTAGCCCCATTTTCTCTTTAGCTACTGCCCTGGTTTTGTTTCCCTTATAGCAAACCTCCTTGAAGAAGGTATCTCTACTTTTTTTTTCCTGTTTCTCTCCCACTCTTCTTTCTTTTATTCCTTCCTATCTGATTTTCAACTCCCCACCCCATTGCCATTATTAGGGTCTGTAATTATGCTACAGGATTCCATCAAGTAGTCAGTGCTCAGTCTTCTTCTTCACCTACCAGAAGTGTCTGACATTCCTGTCTCTTTCTTAACACATTCTCCGTGCTTGGTCTTCGGAACCCCATCCTCTCCTCCTGTTCTCCTTTCCACTGGCTGCTCTTTCTCAGTTTCTTCTGCGTGTTCCTTCTCATAGCCCAGGCCTTTCCTGTCTGTACTTTCTTCCTTGGTGATGGATCTTTTGGCTTTAAATACAACGCTGTTGGAGACTTGGCTCCCTGAACCTTGGACTTGTATGCCCTTGTGTGAACACTTCACTGTCTAGACTTGGATGTTTGACTTGTATGTATACTTAGGTTTCTAATAAATGAATGTCCAAGCTGGAGTTTTCATCATTCTCTTCAAATGTATTAACAAACTCCCCGTCTAGTAAATGGGAACTCCACTCTTGTAGTTGCCCACACTAAAATCTTACGAGCTGTCTTTGGCTTTCCAACTTCATACTCCATGTCTCGTCAGTCAGCAAATCCTTCAAGACATATTCAGAGTTGGAGGACAACTCCCGTGTCCACTTCTGCCTCCTGGCCCACCACGGTCCCCCTATGGAGCTTCCTGTCCTCCTGCTTCTGCCACCGCCCCCTCCACACAGTCTCTGGTCACCAAACAGCCCACGTGCTCCTGTTAACATAAGTAAGATTGTATCCCTCTCTGATCTGAACGTACTAAGGGTCCCCTGTCACAGCATCGTGGGTTCTCATAGCTCTGATCTCTCCTCCTCCCACCTTCTGCTCACTGCAGGCTCCTTGGTGTCTCCTGGACATGCAGCCTTGTTCTTTCAGGCCACATTCCTCTTTCAGGACTGGCCCCCGCTGCTTCCTCTCCTGGCATTCCCCCAGTAGCTACAAGGCTCAGTCCCTCATTTTCTTGGGGTATTTCCTCAAATGTCACCTTCAGAATAAGGCTGTCCCAGCCATCACATCCGAAATTGGAACTGCCTCTCCCTCCAGTGCTAATTATCGCCCTCCCTTCTTTATTTTTCTCTTTAGCACTTTATTTCATGTTATGGATTTTGATTATTTCTTAATTTTGTCTGTTTCTCCCACTAGGGTTTAATCTACATGAGGGTTTTTTAAAAAATCTGCTTTGTTCATTGCTGTATTCCTAGAACTTAGAACAGTACTTAGCATACAGTATATGCTCAATAAGTGTGGGCTGAATGAACAACCGCATGAATGTAATGACTCCTTTATAACACTAACGACTGTCAGAGACTGACCTTTGAAGTATGACAATGTCCTTTATTTGAGAAATTAGGGAGAGACGAGTTAGGAGGTATTTTTAAATAAAAGCCACATTTGACAAAATAAAAATCTGTCCACCCAATATTGACTTCTCTCTCTAATCTCCCCCTCCCCCCTTTTGTAATTTCCTGATCCATTTAGATGATTCAAGCAGTGTGACAGTGAAGAAAAGGAGAAATATAAGCCATCCTAGGAGGATGCATGCTTGAGGAATGTCACTTGTTTTGTTTTGAGAGACTTGCCTGTATAAAAAAGACCTCTTATTCAATGTAGCTAAGCTCATAATTAATTGGTTATTTACTCTAAAGAGTTTAATATAATGGAAGATCACTAAAAAGTGATCTATGCCTACCTTTATAATTTATTTTAAAATAAGACATAATTTTCTATTCACTTGTCAGTCTTTTACTGAGGCGGAAGGCAGGGTTCTGAGGCTGCTGACTGAGGTTCCAGAGGCCTTTCCTACTTAAACTGCACTCATATTACCTGACCTGCCTTTTACAGTTTTGGTTTCTTTAAGATATTCAAAGCAGTGTAAGGCTAGAAGCTGTTCAGTTTATCAGGATATTCCCCTAGATATTGTGGTTTGAGTTAATGTCATGTATTCTGTGGTGACTGCATTGTCCTAGTGGCCAACTCTACCCTTTCTAGGAATCTAATATAAAATTTTATGTATGTTCTTCAATTGAATGAAATCAGTGAAAGGGATAGCCTTGCTGGTCTTCAGTCTCGACAGAACATACACTTGAAGCACTTACTCAGTGCCACTGGGAAGACTTGTGCACTGATGCGTAGTCACGCCATCACGGCGTTAGCTCCAGCTTTGCCACTGTCTGATTTCCCATGGGGCGTTCTCAGTCTACATAGGGATGGTGGCGTGCAGTCCCTCATCAGAGGATTAGTGTTGGTGTTTACGGAGCGCTCTGGTTTCCGCTAAACAGGCACTTAAACAAATAAACAAACACACTTGTAATCTTTACTCTGTAGAGAACAACATTAATAATGGATTATATTGTTTCTTTGAGCTTATTGATGTTTTTAATAAAGAGGAAAGAATATGTGAAACTATGAATTTTCATGGATTCAGCTATCCATTCATGTAGTGCAGTATTTTGCATGGTGTATAGAATATTGGAGCCTATTTATATCTTTTAAAACTATGTCTTAATTTTATGTTAGAAATCGAACTCAAGATACATGACTTTCCAATGTCATAGTGTTCTGTAAAAACTGCCATGTTCTTTTTTGTACTTCTTTTCCTCTTCTGACCTCTGCTGGTGAGGTGTAGGCATGCGTGAAGCCCGTCAGCTTCATCCTCATTCACACGTCCTAATTGTACGACATGAAAGGCAAACTGTAAGAGATGGGAAAAACCAAACTGTTTTTCCTACCCTCACACTCAGCACAGCACAGAATACTTCTTGTCATCAAGATATGTGTGTGTGTGTGTGTGTGTGTGTGTGTGTGTGTGTGTGTGTGTGTGTAGGTGGGACATGAGAGAAGGGAGGACTTAGTGGGTAGCAATGCTTTCAATTCATATCAGGGAATAGGAAAGGTAAGAGCACTGTGTTTGGGAAAATAGTTTTGGATATGTTGAATTGAAAGTGTATATTGAGGCTGGGCACGATGGCTCACGCCTGTAATCCTAGCACTCTGGGAGGCCAAGGCAAGAGGATTGCTTGAAGGCAGGAGTTTGAGACCAGCTTACATAAGAGCAAGACTCTGTCTCTACTAAAAAGAGAAAAAATTAGGCAGGTATGGTGATGCATGCCTGTAATCCCAGCTACTCAGAAGGCTGAGGCGGGAGGATCGCTTGAGCCCAGGACTTTGAGGTTGCTGTGAGCTAGGCTGATGTTACTGCACTCTACCCAGGGTGACAGAGCGAGATTCTGTCTCAAAAAAAAAAAAAAAAGTATCTATTGAACTTTTATGTGGGGATTCTAATATGCTGTTATATTCTAGTTTTGTCTTGGTGGTGTTGAGTCTATGGTAAGATGGTATTCCTTAGCCTATTTTTCTAGGGCACTTAAGTTCACATTTGTTGCATATGAGTATGTTTTTAGTTGCTTCTTCAGAATAGTTGTTAGAATTGTTAGCTTCAGCATGTTTGGTGAGAAAATATATTTTATCCGTGAATTATAGATTCTTGAGTGAGGGAGAAAGACGTTTTCATGTATATCAAGTCTGTTATAGTTGAACTTCTTATCATAGAGTTAACTTTTAAACTTGATTGAGCTACTGATATATAATTTTAAAATCCTATAGCCTTGGGAGCTTTTCCTAAGGTATGTCCTTTTTTTTTTCCTGTAGGGTAAAGGAAAGCATACTTAAACTTAATGATTCTTAAAATTTTGTATGTGTTTTATCTTTGCAGTGTGAGAATGTATAGCATTTAAAATAATGTATATATATGATAAGCATTAAATTAGAATACAGAAGTGTGTCTTTAATAAAATGGATGACTATTTCCTAAAGTGATTCGTTGATAATTCATAGTCATAAAAATGAAAAATAGCAAGAGACCTGCTAGATCTCAGCAGGGTTGTTCCTGGCAAAGTGTATGTTATTATACTCTTGGGTTGGCTTGAATTATTTGGTGTTTTTGCTGTTGGTGGAAAAAGGAATTATGCTTTGAAGAAGTCAAGGGAACAAGTGCAGAAGAAAAAATACCAAATGGCAGTTTAGATCAATCTTAATTTTTCACAGCTTGGCCTTCTCTAAAGTCACATTTAGCAGAAACATTAATTAGATTTCAGTACCCCACTGAGTTTTAAAATTAAACATATTTCTGGAACCATCTGCAACATTTTATCACTAATAATATAATGAAGAATATGCTTAGCCTTTTGAAAAATGGGAATTATAACAGTATCTTTTGTTCGTGGGTGATCATCTTTTATTATGAAAAACTCATCAAAATTTTTAAAAAGAGTCAAGAAGTAATTAAAAAGTTTTAAGAATATGCCTAAAAATAAAATTCTATAAAAATATTCTCATTGGTGAGACTCTTCCTAAATTCAGGATTTTCTTTGGGATTTTATGCTGCTTTTAGATCTAAAAATATTGGTGGTAAGCTTATACGCCATCTGCTAACATAACGCCTGCCCGTTTGAGGCTGGATTGAAGACAGTCAGTGAGGAGCTGCTGTTTCCCCCATGAGTTGTGATTGCCTGGACAAGGGCAGAGGTCAGGGTGGAAGCAAGAGGCAGAAGATGTGGTAGCTTAGAGTGCAGATCCTGGAGCCAAGCTGCTGGCTCTGACCCCTCTTCTGCACTTTGGTGAATTGGGATGAATCCCTCCATCCCTTTGTGCTCTGTTTCCTTATTTTAAAACGGGGGTGATCATACCTACCTCATGGGGTTGCAGTGAGCATACATCCTTGGGCGTAGAACATATCCTCAGAACTATTGCCTTTCCTGCGTAGTTTTCTGTTTCCATCGCTTTTTATTCATATACTTACTATGCTCGCAGGCCTGAGTACTTAGGGGGAAAAATCTCTCCTCTTAGAAACCAAAGACATAAGGAGCAAGTGTTTCTGTCTCACCTTCCCCATTCTCTGGCTTTGCCCCAGATCTCAATTTAGTGAGACTCAGGGGCCCCTGCTGCCCGGGCAGCCTCCCCATGCTTCTTCGTGTGAGCTGTGGCGATGGCCGTCGGCCCCGCGTGTGTCAGAGACGCTTGATAAAAACCCTAAAAATCTCTCAGTTCTTCATTTTGGGCTCATCTTCTCTGACACACCAAGGTGGGTGTGACTGCCCCTCTGCTTGTGACCTTGCTGTCACTGTCCTGTCTCTGCGCCAGCACCTGCCATGGTGCTGTGTGTCCACATCACTTGCCGTCAGCACCAGTCAACTTTCCTTACGGCAGCAACGGTTACTTGTTATTTTTGTATAATTGTCCTCTAGCACAGTGCTAATTATATATTAGTCTCTCCATAAATAGATACCCACTTTAAAAAAACTAACTCTGTCACTAAAAACATTAATCTGCTAGAATTCAGTAAAATATAAAAGAAGAGAATTGAATTTTGAAGTTGTATTTTTGTTGCTTTGTAAAAGATATTTAAAATTTTTTCTTTTAATTTGTAGAATACACAAGATCTTCAGTGGTTAGTTTTAAAATGTTAGAAAATTTAAATAATCCCTTTCTCTATCTTTTTACCTCAATGGAGCATTTCCTATTAATCTAAATTTTAGCTATCGAATACTGTTGATACCACTCTAATCTTACCCAACTTTTAAAAAGTTATTATATTTGCCATCTAACAAAACATAACTTTTTTAAGTAGTTCTTTTTAGCAGCAATTTATTTTTATTTATTTATTTATTTTTTTGTAATTTGTAAGGAAAGAACCCTTGAACAAATAGTAATGGTGAATTTCGATTTTATTTTAGCAAAAGTACCTGGAAATTGAAAGAACTACCAAATGGCTGAAAATGTTAAAAGGATGGGAAAAATACAAGAACACCGAAAAGGTAATTTAAAATAATGTTATTTCCATATGAAACTGTATAAATTTAATGTGGATTTCCCCAGTAGAAGTCCTTCTTTAATTATAAGAGTGTTGTAGTCATGTTTGTTTTTGAAAATGTAGTTTGATTTAATTTAGCAATATGCTTCAAACTGGGAGTCCTTATGTTGTAAGTAACATGACACCCAGTTCACATTGGTTTCAACAGTGAAGGGGCTTTATTGGATGATCCAGAGGTAGGATGGTTTTTAGGAGTGATTGAGCTCAGCTGCTTACTTAGGTTGCCTGTAACTTAGATTTGCCATCTCTTCTCTGCCTTCTGCAGCGTCAGCTTTATCTTGAGCTTGGCTTCCCTTTGGGGTCAAAAATCACTGCAGCAACTGGAGCAGTTCCAGGCACAGGTCACATTGGTCAGAGAAACAGGGCTGGCCTCCGAAAGCCTTCCCTGAAGCAGGTTCAGTCTCCTTTTCCAGAAGCTTCTAGAAACTTCCCCTTAAATCTTTTTGTCTTGCATTGAGTTTGTGGTGAGTTTTAAAGAAAAATACACTAAAACATTAATATTACCACCATTCTCATCAGAAAGGTCTTTAAATAGTGGGAAAGTATTAAGTTCTTGGTGGTGGAAGTTTTCCAAACTTCTGATTTTTACTTGAAAGGTCAAATGTTGTGACAACAAATACTGTGCCAGTTATTCTCCTCCCAGTGACAGACTCACTTCACTTATTTCTGAGATAATGTCTGCCAAACACCCCAAGTCTGAGCAGCTGCTATTGGTTGGTTAGTCTGCTTTTCTTTCAAGTAATAGTGGTGTTCCATGAAAAAGATTGTGATTCAAACAATTTTATCATAAGCGCTTTTTCTTGAGACAACAATTATACTTCAGTAAGTAGCAAAAGTGCTGTATATGTACTTCCCATTTTGTCACTCAGTTTATTAATAATGTACTCAAAGTTTGAGATTGAATAAAATTAACACTTTTTATTACTTCATCGAGGACACTCGTAAGTGAAACTGACTTTCTTTTTAAATGTTGAAGGAAGAATTGGTGATGCCTAGCACGGCATTACTGCTGCCTGGGTTTGTGCCACTAGCCAGTAGATTTACCACCATCACTTTTTGATCAGCGCAAGACAACACAGTAAAAAGGAAGACATTTAGTCTTATTATGAAAATAGTTTTGCCATGCTTTTAAAACCGCTGACATCTAAGCCTCAGTTTCGTCATCTGTAAAATGGAGGTAATAGTGCCCATTTCAAAAGGATGAAGATTTCATGATTTAATGCATGTAAAAGCACTTAGCGTTGTCCCTTGCATATAGTAAGCATTCAACAAATGTTAACTACCACTGTTAATTTCTTGAAGGAAGGTTGAGCAACAAAAAAATTTTAAAGGAAAAAAAAAAAAGAAATCTTCCATTGTCCAATCAGCAAAACACAACTGAGTTAACTGTTAGGATTTTTGTCTATTTCCTCATACTTTTTTTTTCTTATGTGGTCCTTTTTTCCACTTTTTCTGTAGATACAAATTATTGTGTGTCAGCATTTGCCAAGAAGAATTCCTGGGAGCATCAGCTCCTTGAGTTCTAATATACATAGAAGCAGTATTGCCTAATGGTTGAGAGGCAGGTTCTGGAGCTAGACTATCTGGGTTCAGTCAAGCCCCAGCTCTGCCACTTACTAGCTATGTGATCTTGGGAACGGTAGTTAACCTTTTTCTGCCATGGTTTGTTCATCTGTAAATTGGGGATAATAACAGTACCTATTCCATGATAGTCATTGTGAGGATTCAATAACTTAATTCGTGTAAAGCATACAATAGCGCCTGATACTTGGTACGCATTCAGTACATGTTGCTTATTATTAGATGAGAAAAGGGCTCTTGGTAGAAAAAAGTTGGGAAAATCAGAGCTAAACAAAGTTAAACAATGTTTCTTTACCATAGGACTCTTCAGGCTTAAATATTATAACATGTGGTGTGAGTTAAGAGAGACCTTAAATTATGTGAAATTTATCTAACCATGGAAATCTTTTTGTCATGGGTATCTCATAGAGCTAATGTCATTTTTTTTTTTTTTTTGAGCCTACTAAGTATCCTTAGTCAGACTCTTATTATTTTATTTTCATCCTGTATGAATTCATTTTGGGTTGTTGATTTTATTAACTGTCTGTTTTATCATTAGATTTAGAACTCAAGATGTTTTTAAGAGGAGTCAGTTCAAAGTAGAATGTTAGTTATGACATCTATGCTCTTGTTTAATATTATGCTGTCTCTCAGATTGGCCTAAAGTTGGCAACTACTTTTACCTTATGTCTTTGTGGAAAGATTGCTCAAGTGGTAATTACAGGATAAATTTCAATGCATTGTTCCTACATTTTAATCTCACATTCACTCTAGTAAAATATTTGTAGAATTATATGGCTTTATGTTCTTCTGTAGTATACATATATCTATTAAAGTGGGTAAGCCTCTGTAAAAATGAGCAATTCTACCAGGCTATTACTCTGACAGCAACTCTGGTTAATGCAGTTCCCATTAAGAGAGATTTTAACAGTACTATTTCTTTGAAGTATAATTTTGAAGCACTCTCCCATAACTCTAATGCTTGAATCATTTGATGATATATATGGTCCAATTTGGTGTGAAACAGAATGAGCCTTCTAAAAGAATTACTACTTTTCATACCTAGTTTTAAATTGCATTGAAGTAAAAAAACTAGCATGGATTTTTCTTCTCTTCCAAGGGGAAGTCTGTTTTCTCTCCATAAATTCCTTACTTGATTTAGTAGTAACACAGAGAAATTCTAAAAATATTGTGAAATAAAAGTATATCTCTGGTAGAGAATATTTGGATTTTCTAGAACTCAAGCTTTAATAAAAAACGTTTCCAATAATGTTGTTTATGTTACCCATGCAGTGGCTGCCTCCCTATGCCCTTGTATTTTCAAGACACAGTCTACTAAATGAAGTTCTTTGTTAAGTGAGGGTGTAATGATTTAACTACATAATGATGTAATTGTGTCTAAGCTATGGTACAGCAAAGTACCTGCTACAGATACACATTTTTTTTTTTTTTTTTGTCAAATAACTGACTGGACCTTTGAGGCCATATTAGCCAACATTTTATTTTACGGACTGGCATATCATTTAGAAATCAAGTTCTCAAGGACACATAGCTTGTTAGCAGCAAGTAAGAAATTCTATGGCCGGACTCTAGAGCCCTTTTAATTATATCATCTTTCATGCTGGCTTTGCCTTTTGGTGTTTATCAAGGAAATAGAATGTAGTTATGAAAGGCAATATGGTGCGTTGTGGATGGTTTAAAACTTTTTTAGAGGCAGATTTGGGAGACTTGGTGCTATTTGAAGGCAGAGACAAAGGAGCCAGTGGAGCAGGGATGTTGAAGGCAAATGGAGAGACAGTGAAGGGCAGGCGCAGCTCAGAGAGGGAGTTTTGTTTCCTGCTGCACGCTTGCAGTTTGGGAAGGCTCGCAAACCGAACCAGACTTGCTGGGCTGAAGAGTTTACTTGGGGGCAGCTGTGATAACGTGGGTTGGCACACTTGTCACTGTTTTGAGGTCACTAAAAGTAGAATAAAGTGCTGAGAACATTAGTCATTTCATGGAAATTTTTGTTAGTTAATAGATGATTAAATGTATCTGTAGGACTGAAATAGACTACTTGATTTTATTGGCAATTGAGCAAAGATACTGGGGGGAAAAAGGTGGATTTTTAGGTAACCTTTTTAAAGAAAAATATTTATCAAATCCCACAAATAAATTTATAAAAGAATCTTTTTTTTATTTTTTTATAAAAGAATCTTAAAGGTGGTACTTGTACCACTTAAGGGTCACTTGTGTAATGGCATGAACATTCTAACACCCTGAGCATTCTGAACGATTTCTTGTTTATTCTGTCCTTCTGTGTCTCCCCTTATGATCCGAAAAATAGAGATGGCAGGATCTCAATGTGCCTGTTGAAAAGTGTCATGGATACTTTGAAAATATAAGAATAACAAGTATTAATGAGATCAGTTGAAGGGTCTAGACTAAGCTTTTGTCAGTTTGTAACCTTCAGTTTCTTTTTCTTTTAATAAGTTTCATAGAAGAATTTACAAAGGAATCCCACTCCAGCTCAGAGGTGAAGTCTGGGCACTCCTTCTTGAGATCCCTAAAATGAAAGAAGAAACAAGAGACCTTTATAGTGTGAGTAGCTAAAGCTAACCTGTTATTTTGGAATTAAAAGGTAAAATACATTTCTTTTAGCTTTGAAGGTATATGCAAGATATTCATATCATCACTTAAAATTATATTAAAATTACCTTACATTGGATTTTGGAGGCCTATTACTTGTTTTGTAGATTGCAATCTACTTAAATTTCAAACATACTTCAGTCAAAATGTCATTGTATCAATCAATCAATCAATCAATCAGTAGGTATCAAGTGCTTTTCAAATACTTAAATGATCAATTAAAGTACTTAAAATGATCAATTAATGTTGAGACATATTCATAGGGAAAATTGACTGGCACCTGATTGTAGGTGCTTGTTTGCAATGGAGTATCAAAAAAGATTTGTGGTGTCACTTTGATACTTTATGGGAAAATAGCAGAATTCAGTTTATACAACACCTGCCCATATGTGATTCTTTTCTTCTAGGGTGAAAAAAGAATTTGCCCCCAAAGTTATTAGGATATCTCTAGGTTTTATTATTTTTTAATTAAAAGTTAAACTTTTGGGTGAATGATAAGTAATATTTTCCAAATTAGGCAATGCAGTAAATGTACCTCCTTGTCATCTCAGCTATACACTTTCTAAGCCTAAATTTTATATTAACCTTTGAAGCGAGTAAGAATTTTACATTTAAGAATCTTAGACCTATAGATTTTAAAATATGATTCTTAGAAAATGTGTATAAATAGAATACATTAAAATCAAAGAAATGGGAAAAAGTTATTTAAAGCTTAAACCCAAAGCCACTTGTAAAAGCATTTGGTGTTCTTTTGATTACACACACAAATACACATACATAGAAGCACACATAAACACACACACATATATATCTTTTCATGTAAAATTTCATCAAGATGAAAGTTAATACATACTGGTTAAAGAGTTACTAATTGGTATGAATAAAAGATTTTTAAATTTAGCTGTTTGGACTTTATACAATCTATGGGTTTATACCTCAGGATTTGAGTGTGTCAAATTATTTTAACTGTTGATTAGATCTTTGCATTTATGGTCATAGTTTTAGAGCCAATGTTCAAAATGATGCCTGAGAGAACATACAAAATATACCCAGCACCTGGTATAGTGTGCCTAGCGTATCGTACGTGCTCGGTAGATATTTAATTAATGAAAGTAGAAAATTAATGAAAGTAAAAATACTTTATTTACATACTCTATTGCTTTCCTAGGGCTGCTATAACCAAGTACCACAAACTGGGTGGCTTAAAACTATGTATTACTATCTCACAGTTCTGGATGAGAGAAGCATGAAATTAAAGTGTCGGCAGGGCCATACTCTCTCCCAAGGCTCTGAGGATGGCACCATCCTTGCCTCTTCCCAGCTTCTGGGGGTTTCCAGCAGTCCTTAGTGTTCCTGGGCTTGCAGCTGCATCGCTCCATCCCACCTCCTTCGTCACGTGGCCTTCATCCTATGTATCCCTGTCTTTCCAGATAAGAACACCAGTCATTGGATTTAGGGCCCACTCTCATCCAAGGTGACCTCACTTTAACTTGCATCTGCAGAGACCCTATTTCCAAATAAGGTCACATTCACCTGTTCCTGCTGGACATGAATTTTGGGGAGACACTATTCGACACAGCATACCTATTAATGGTAGAACTACAGTTTTCAGTTATATTTAGATTTTTTTCTATGTAGAATAAAATTATCCAATGATTAGTTAATATAAGAGCACCATTTAGTAAAAACTGGTAGCAACCACAACAAAGAAAATGACTTGCCATCCAATTCCTTTTTTTTTTTTTGTGAGACAGAGTCTCACTTTGTTGCCCAGGCTAGAGTGAGTGCCGTGGCATCAGCCTAGCTCACAGTAACCTCAAACTCCTGGGCTCAAGCAATCCTGCTGCCTCAGCCTCCCGAGTAGCTGGGACTACAGGCATGTGCCACCATGCCCGGCTGATTTTTTCTAGATACATTAGTTGGCCAATTAATTTCTTTCTATTTATAGTAGAGACGGGGGTCTCGCTCTTGCTCAGGTTTCGAACTCCTGATCTTGAGCAATCCGCCCGTCTCAGCCTCCCAGAGTGCTAGGATTACAGGCATGAGCCACCGCGCCCGGCCATCCAATTCCTTTAAGCTTAAAATTCTCCACCCTATAATAAACATTTTTTTGTTATTTGAGTTTTCCTCAACATCATTATTTAACCAGGTCTTCCTTTCCCCACCATCCTTTCTTGCTCTCTCTCTACCAAAGTGTATACATTACTCTCCACACATCCTCCCTGAACTGGGACTTCAGTAGGAATAAAACTGACTTCTCTTAATCAACTAGGATTTTTCTCAGGTGAAGTCATTTGGAGCCTGGCACGTCACAAGCACTCAGTGACCTGTCTTGGAATAAAGCTCTATGTGAGGTGCTGAAGAGCATACGAAGATGAGTAGGTGCAATCTCAAGGATCTTTTCTTCTATGTTGAGGGAGACATATTGCTTAGAAAGATTTAATATGTGATAAATACCTCAAAAATGGGAAAACAAAACACTTGGCTGAACACTTGGCCAGACCCGCAGTGATAATGCCAGTTTTCTACCTAAATCCTTTCCCTTGTACTTCTGCCCTCAGGCCTGTGGGTTCATTAGATACCATTTCTTTTAAATAAAATGTTCATTCATATATTATTGCAACACTCATGGATCTCAACCTATCCAGTCTCAAGAGATAACTGTAGAAGCTATTTACTTTCTTTCATTCAGGGTAAGAAATGTGTTTGATTTCCTATATTCTGTGCATTAGCTTGTAAATATTTTAGGACATAAATGATATTTCTGACCTTTTATTTTTTTACCTACTTAACTGGGCTTTGCTTCTGTCACGAGGCCTTTTTTATGATGGATTTTCTTGTCATCTAGAGAAACTGATGTTATAGATATGTTTGGGTCTTTTTCTCCCTTCCAATTAAATTTTATTATAAGGCATTTTTTTTATCGTGCCTTGTCAAACATTTTCTTCCTGTGTTTTGACATCTCATCTTTTACCAGAAAGCCTGTAGCACAATAGCTTAAACCTCTTTACTCACTTATTACCTTTTTTAAAAGAAGATATTAAGAAAAGAAATATGTATAAATTTTTATTTTTAAAGCTAAATTTTTAAAATGTCTTCTGAACCAACTTTTGTCAGAAATAACATACAATGATATTTTAGTGTTCATATGATTCTGATACAATACTATAAATAACTGCCTCTGTCTTCAGAACTCTGAAACAAACTGTGGTTACTTTTCATGTTTTAAAAAGCTACAGAAGCTGCCCTTCTCTGAGCTCCCACCTCAAAACATGAAAATACACATACTCACAAAACACTTAACATACACATACGTATTCCAAATTTGCCCAGGTAGCCTTCTTTTAGCTGAAATCAGGAACAGTTATGTTTTTATATATATTTATTAGAATTGATTTAAGCAGACGTCTGTATTACCAACACATGGTAAATGGGTCAATATAACATATGTATATAGATTCTTATTTATATACTAAAACATGGTTAAGTAGAAATTCATATAAACTTTAATCTCCCATCTGGCTAAACATAGGAGATTAAGCATACCCATTTAGCTTCCTTTCCCCTGAAATGCCTCTAAAATTGAAATGCCCCTGAAAACAGAGTTTTTAAAAAGGCAAACCCACAGAAATGAGAAAATGGGAGAAGAGATAACAGCTGCCAATTTTTGGAAACCAGAATATAGACAGACATTTAGTAAACTTAGCAAACGTGAGAAAGCTAAATCCTAGGCTGGCAGTGGGAAATTGGACAAGCAACCAGATTCATATCTCCAAATCACCAGAAGGCTTGGTAATTGCCAACTGCAGGTACCTCTGGAAGGGGAGGTGCAGATAAAAACAGAAGTGGCTGAAAGTCTGTTTCAGAAGCAGTTAGAGCCCCTAAGACCCCTCCCAGTGCTGGCCTAGGACTGGATGTTTGTTATTTGGAAAGGAGGGAACAGAGCCTGCGGGCTGGGGAAAAACACAGATGTTGCTAAGCGTGGGCAGCTGTCATGAAAGCAGAGGAACTGAATATCCCAAATTTTGGACAGTCTAGCCTTTTTCCTCAACTCAGCTCCTGGATCATTGGCAGCCAGGTGCTTGTCTTCCTCACAGGAGGACAGAAGAGCCTTCTCTAGGGAATGTGATCAGCTTAAGAAAATAAACCCAGAGACCGAGACTTCAGGGGACCCCAGTGCCACTGTCCCACCAGATCCCTCCACAGTCAAGACCACAGTCGTGATGCCCAGCTGGGCACACAGCTTTTTAATGTCCTACATTTAAACAAAAGCAGAAACCAAAGTGTGCTATTCATTTGAAGAAAGAGACTAACAGGAAAGACAAATGAAAGCCGATGGAAGAAAGCAAATTTGTAAGAAACAGACTATAGAGCAAGAGGAAAACTTTCAAAACTATTGTTAATATCTTCAGAGAAATAAAAATAGATATTGCATCCATAAAACAAGTATAGGATGCTATAAAAAGGAATATTTGAGAACAACAAATGGCTTAATGTAAAAAATAGAAATGAAAAACTTAATTGAGAAAAACAATTGAGGAAATTTCCGAGAAAATAAATTATAAACGCAAAGAGATGGAAAACAATAGAGAAATACAAGAAAACTAGATGACAGCCTAGGAGATCTCATGCTATAATAATTAGAGAGTTTCAGAAAGAGAACACAGGAACGTGGGGAAGGGAGGACGAGGAAATTGACAAAGGAATTATTGAAGAACGTTTCTCAGAGCTGAGAGATGTATGAGTTTTTAAGATTGAAAGTATCTATCAAGTGCCCAGCTCTGTGGATAAAAATAGATCTAAACCAAATACAAAAGTATGAAGTTTCTAAACATGGAGAAGAAACTCCTACAAGCTTCTAGAGAGAAAAAACAGGTTGCATACAAAGGAACAGAAATTGGAATGGCAGCACTGGAAGCCAGAAGACAATGAAGCAGTGCTTTTTGAGCAAAAATATTTTCCAACTTAGAATTCTGGAACAGCCAATTAAATAAGGGGGTAGGATGATCAGACATTCGAAGTTTCAAAAACTTTATCTTCCGTATACCCTTTCACAGGAGCTACCCGAGAGTGTGTTCTTCCAGAGCAAGGGAATAAGCTAAGAGGGAAGGAGATGTGAGACCCAGGAAACAGGGGACCCAATGTGAGAAAAAAAGCAAAGGAAAGTCCTGGCAGATGGTGAAGGGAAGTCCTGGGACCCCACTGTGCAACAGGCTGGGAGGCCAGGTGGCAGGTCCTGGGAGAGAGGCTCCGAGGAGCTGGAGCTGGTGGAATACCTGTTCTATTGGAACATCGTCAGAGGAGATTCAGACAACTCATAGTGACTTTGGGATTGACTTAGATAAAAGTATGTAGAAAATGAAGCAAATCAAGAAACAAGGCAATGATTAGTTCCAAGGAAAACAAAAATATCATTCTGGAAAGAAAAAGGAAACCATAGTAGCCTGCGGTGCTCAGCCATGAAGAGCTTTCATACAGTCTTAGTAATGCAAACTCTGAAAATTTCTCTCTCCTAAGTTAAACTCTGATTGGCAGGATGGGAGGGGAGGGAGAGGACAGGAGGGAGAGGATGGGAGTAGCAGAAATGGGGGAGGGGTTCCATTGTGTGCCTTTTTATGTTGTTTTGATTTTTGAACCATGGGAATGATTTTTCTAATCCAAGATAAAGTTTTTAATGAGAATTATTTTACTATTTGTCATAGCCTTTTCAACAACTGCTTTCCATAAATATGTGTTTTCTTCCCTCTTTTTCCTCTTCAGAAATTAAAACACAGAGCACGGGGTTGTTCACCTGATATCAGACAAATAGACCTTGATGTCAACCGCACATTTAGGGACCATATCATGTTTAGAGACCGATATGGTGTTAAGTAAGTAAAGCTTAATATTATGAAATATAAATAGCACTTATAAATAGTCCTTATCAAAGTCTTTATTAACTTAAAATGTGAATGTTTAGAGTGTGTTCTATAGACTATAATTTTGATTTAGGCCTTAAAGGTTTAAGCTTTTGCAGATCATTTGAGTCTGTGTTGTATGAAACTTAGGATTTAATTTAACTTACATTTTTTAACCTAGTAGATGCTATAAAATTGATAAAGAATCATTTTATGATTTGGGAATGCTTAGAAATATAGCAGATACTTTTATTAAAAGTCTTAGAAAAGATATGAGAGATGATTTGTATCATCGGTAAATAAATATATCTCTATAACCTTGACCCCATGCATAAATGAAACAAAAAGGAAAATAAATGAAAGGAAATGAGGAATTAATGAACTGAGTATAACAGGGCATTAGTACTACACGTTGCCTTATCATTGCTGTGACAGCTTATGAATAAAAGAAACAGTTTTGCTGATTTCTGTATCAGTCAGGGTCTAACCGGAGAAACAAAAACCAGTAGGAGATCCATAATAAGAGATTTATCTCAAGATAGTGACTTGTCCAGTTGTAGGGCCTGACTAGGCGAGTCCAGAATGTCCAGGCAGCCGTTGGGAAGGATGGGCTGCTGTCCTCAGGCAGAACTTCCTCTTCAGGGAAGCCTCAGATCTGCATCCACAGCCTTTTAACTGATTGAATGAGGCCCACCCCGACAATCTCAGATAATCTCCCGTACTTAAAAGTCAACAAATTATGGATTTTAATCACATCTACAAAATGCCTTCAGAGCAAGAACTAGATCAGTGTTTTGGATCACTGGGGATTATTGTTTAGCCAAGTTGACACACAGAGCCACCCCTCACAGTCTGCCTTTGTCATCCTGACACACATCTCAATTTCCACACAAGACAGTAACAAGGTCATACCGCTGCCTAACATGGTACAGCTCTTCTGCTTACAACTAAGAATGTGCTAATCCTTTCCCCACAAGAGGATGCCAAGTCCTTGGGTAACATTCACTCTTCTGCTTTGATACCCTATAACTTAAATACGGTGATATAAAGTTAATCATTAATATATCTTATGTTAGAAGTAAAGGGAAAAAAGAAGGAAGAAAAAAATTTGTCAATATATATAAAGCATATTCTTACCAAAGTAAGGGAAGAAAATACTTGTAACAATTACAGTGATCATTTCTGTGACTGGTTGTATGTCATACCTGGTGTTTGTTGTAACTACCTTCTTCCACTGCCCATTCCATGTTCCCTTTGCCCTCAGCAAGTGCCCAAGTTGGTTGTGGTTCTTTCATCTGGTGGGATGACCCAAATCATCATTCCTAAAAAATTTGGACCATTAGCAGTCCTGCCTGAATTAGTTATTGTAGTTTTCCAGTGACTTTAATCACAGGGCTTGGTAGTAGTAATATGAGATCTCCCAAGTGCTCTGCTGTGTTCTAGACATACTCCTCCATGTTCCACTGTATAGTAGTAACCCATCTCCTCTTAGTAATCAGGATCAGTCACCTTGGCAGGCACAGTCACCTGCTGCTTTGCCTGTTGATTCATAGGCATAAGGAGCCCAAAGTGGTTGGATGGCAGTTTCAGCTTCCAGTTCAGTGGAATCATTGTTATGTCTCTGGGTGGAGGTGGTCGTCCTTTTGGAACTATGATCTCTAGACCAGCAGAGATGGGAAGCAGAAATTTTGCTGGGGATTATTGCTATCCCATTAGGATATCAGTGAGTGGAGTCACTCCTGTTTCCACCCCTTGAATGTTGGGTCCATGAGTCCCTGCAATGGGAAAAACAGCACCTTATATTGGAGCCTGATTTGGAGCATATCAGCTTCCTGAGGACATTGCTCCAGCCCTGCGAGGAATAGTACCTGGCTGGTACTGGGACTGAGTCTCCCAAAGGCCATCCCACCATTCTGTCAAGCCAGCTGCTTCAAAGTGAGGTAGTTCAATGAAAGAGAGCAAGACATTTAAGAAATTTTGAAGTCCTTTGTGTGTTTTGATATAAATTCTATCAGAATGAATGTTATCTAGTTTTAAATTTAGACCATTTAGAGCAGGGGTCCTCAAACTTTTTAAACGGGAGGCCAGTTCAGTGTCCCTCAGATCATTGGAGGGCCAGACTATAGTTAAAAAAAAAAAACTATGAACAAATTCCTGTGCACACTGCACATATCTTATTTTGAAGTAAAAAAACAAACCGGCAAAAACACCTGCATGTGGCCCGTGGGCCATAGTTTGAGGATGCCTGATTTAGAGTATTGTTGTAGTTTAAGCTTGGGATAATTTCTTTATTACAGTGGTAGTTTTATCTGGCTTATCTATTTGTTTTTAGTCAGACTGTGGTTTTTTTGTTTTTTTTTTAAGTTTGTCATTTTAAAAATATGTGAAATAACTAAATTGTGTTTAATGTAAATTTTTCTCTCTAGGCAGCAATCCTTATTCCATGTTCTTGCTGCATATTCTATTTATAACACGGTAAGTTGGAGCATGCCTACCCACTTCTTTGAGGTGTATTCAGAGGGATGGGAGGTGCTTTGGGCACCCTGTACCTAACAAGGTCCTGTGAAGAAGGCAGGTCCTTCAAGGTCCTGAAGAAGGCAACTTCTTCACCTCCCAACTAGATAGTCTCCACATTCTCCTTTAGCTGTGTGGGTCTTTTCAAGCTGACACCCAGTAGCAGCCCTTGGTTCTCAGGCAGAGCTGATTTGAGAGTGGAAAAGCCTAGATATAAGCACAGTTTGCCAGTGAATGTGTCTTGTCTGTCTGTCTCTCTCTCTTTCTCACTGTTTTGTTTTGTTATGCTTTGTGGTGTTGATTGTTTTCTTCTTATTTTTAAGCAAATAAGACTGGGAATGGGCAGGGTAGAAGGGCAGGAAGCTAGATTAATTTTTGCTTGACATTTTATAACTCTTCATTGCTCCCAGGAGGTTACTTTTCAGTCTCACCTCGTATGTATGAGATGAGGTCCAAAACAGGATAACCTAGGTACTTACAGCCATCCCCAGGGAGGCTAAAACTAAACCCTTTATTGATAGACATGATGTTCTTATGGCATTTACCATTCTTGGCGGAGATGATAATTCGGGGAAATATGAATTAGTGTTGGACCTAATATGGGTGTTACACAAGTACTTGGTGACTAGGTCCCATGGAGGACAACCTTTGAACCTTGGGATGCATAATTTCTATTGTAATTAAAACCTTTAAGTTGTAAGAACAGAAATTCACTCAAACTCAGGAAAGTTAGAAAGGAGGTCATTAAAGGGACTTCTAGAAATGAAGCCCTAGTTGGGCTCGTGGGGATTGGAGCTGGGAAGTGGGGAGTGTTCAGGGGAGGACAGCTGCACCTTCTGTTGCTCCACTCTGGGGCCACTTGGTGTCTCCTGTTCTCTCTTTGAACTGTTTAGTCCACTGCTTCTCTCTGCAGACTGCTTCCTTTGTCTACTTGCTGGTTATTCTTTGGCTGGAATTGTGCCCACAAATTCAGCACGACCAGTCTGTTCAAGGGCATACACCCATCTGATTGCAGTCTCTGGCTTTGCTCAAACTTCCTAAAGAGAGTATTGTCTGATCAGTCAGTAACCGATTACCCGTTCCCCTGGGCTCCAGTGTCCTCTTCTGCTCCATCAGCTGTGGTTCCTGTGACACACACATGAATCCCTAAGGTCACATCATAAGCAGGGACTATGGGGAGAGTGGGTGTTTCTGTGGGTGGACATACCGAAACATGTCTACATACAGGTTCAGAAATCTAGGGGAGACAAGATAGCAAACTGAGAATTGCAGGCAGACAAAATTTGATAGAATCTGAGCAGAGAAGAGAAATAGTGAGCTGAGAATCATACATAAAATGAAATAAATATTAGCACTCTTTAAACAAAGCAAAATAGTATTGAACATAGGACATTAAGAAAAATATGTAGGTATTTAGACTTCCTCTACACCTGTACATTTATTGTTGAGCATAATTTTCTTCTTTTATAATGTGCAACATAATACTGTAAAGATTATAATGTTTATCTCTAGAATCACCTATTAGATAATGTGTCTAGGAATTTTCTGATATTTTGTAGATCAGCTTTGTCTTTGTGTGTATACATGTAATTTGATTTTAAACTCTCCAGCATCTGTGTTCTCCTTTGCTCTGCAGGAAGTCGGGTATTGTCAGGGCATGAGCCAGATCACAGCCTTGCTCCTCATGTATATGAACGAGGAAGATGCCTTCTGGGCCCTAGTCAAACTCTTCTCAGGTCCCAAACATGCCATGCATGGTAAGAAAACCTTGTATATTATCATAAACATAAACGAGAGAGAGAAAAAAGGTGGATTAAAACAAAATCAAAGATGCTTGGTAGAATTAAGTACAGCAAATTTAATGTCTTAGGACTTGTTCTGTGAACTAGTATTTATTACTAATTTCTTCTTTCATTTTTCTTTATTGAACTTTTCTAAACTTTTCTGTTCACATTTATTTTCCTTTGTCTTTACCCCATAGTATATTGTTGGCATTTTAAAATTCTTTCTTTACTCAACCTCAGTCAAAAGAAACTAATTTAGGTTTGGAGGAATTTAGGAAAAGGTATATTATTGGGAGCAATAAAATATGCTTTTTAATCAAAACTTTCAGAAAGTCATGTAATTATCATTTCAGTGAAATGTTATTTACCATTGACTGGAGATTGTGACTCCTTGTCAAAAAATAATAATTGAAGTTGGGCGTGGTAGCTCATACCTGTAATCCCAGCACTTTGGGAAGCCAAGGCAGGAGGATCACTTGAGGCTAGGTTGGACAACAGTGAAACCCTGACCCTACAAAAAAATTTAAAAATTAGCTGGGTATGGTGGTGCACACATGTAGTCCCAGCTACTCAGGAAGCTGAGGTGGGAGTTCCAGGTTGCAGAAAGCTATGATATTATAACTGCACTCCAGCCTGGGTGACACAGCAAGACCCCATCTCTTAAAAAAAAAGAAAAAACAAATTTTGAGAAATGACACTTGGGTGTTTAAAGGAAAGGTCAGTAATAATTAAGTAGTTTTATATTTCAAGTGGAGTTTTTATAATAGTTCCTTCAGCCATAAAATCGGTTCCATTTTAAATAAAAGACCGATAACACGGTTGGGGCACTCGATTATTTAATATTGCAAAACTTGAATAATTTTTTGGTTTTCGATTTAGCACATTGTTTTTAATAGCCTTTTCTTTATATTTGCCAAGCTAAGCAATAAACTTTATTTCACAGAGTTTGGATTGCCATTTGTCCTTGGAAATAAAAGTAGCATTTGTTGATATAATGCAAAATTATTTTCCAGTGTCATCCATGTGGTAATATCAAATTTAAAACAATTTTAACACTAGTTACTCTGAGAATGGATTATCTAAATTCAGTTTGTGGATATTTAAGCTTTATGTGGTAGAGAACATGCCACATATTTAAAGTGCCATTTTGATATTTTCAAAATTATGACCTTCTATAGTCCATTGTTTATTAAATCTCACACTCTTACCACGTGATTTTTGTGGGATAGTACTTGTTTTGGGAGGGGTGTGTGTTGTTTCCATTTGTTTTTCTCCTTTAGTGTTCCTTGCCAATTATTTTAACAAATATTATCTGCATCGTAACTGTTTCTGGGCACTCTAAGTCCTGTAAATAGATTCTAAATGTAAGACATATTATTATATTGAGTGGCCACCCAATAGTCAGTATCATTTAAAAAGGCATCTTGAAGAAAAACAACTCTTCCTCATCAGTCTTTATTTTGCTTTCCCATTGGATGGTGTTGCTGATCAGTCTTGAAGTACAATAGAGTATTACAAGTTAAGTGGTATGTAATTATGTGGAAGACTGCCCAATTTTAGAAAACAGTCATTTCTTTTGAATCTACTTGATAGCTTATCTTCAGCAATCGTTGTCACCAGTCTAATCTATAAAACAATGTTAATGCTGCTATCCTAACATTTACACTTACTGTGCAATTTAGGTCATTATTATGGATAAGTTTGTGCTTAGAGATATTTGTTTCTACGTCTGCCTATGAAATTTTATAACATTATATTAGTGCTTTGCCATTCCAATATGAAAGTGTTATCTCTTATAAATGTATGAAAACAAAGCTAGGGCTGAAAAAGATGGGATTTAAAATATGAAGTCTGGAACATCACTGACAAGTGAAAAAATATTAGGATTCTTAGCATCCTTTAGCTAGTTATTACTGAACTGTATTGACTTTTTCCAAATCAGACTTCTCTTGAAATTTTTCCAACTTCCATTCCTATTAAATTGACCATGAAAGTGGCACTGATAGAGAGAGATAGATTTTTTATGAAACTATTTCACTGGAAAATATTACTAAGGTAGGAATAGAATCTCTATTTCTGGAAATTTTTACACACACCTGAGAAAATTGAGAACTAGTTAAGAAATAGTTCTGCTCAATAGATTGTAGAGCATTGTTTCCCAATAGTGTGTGCCTCCTGTCCGTGGTGGAACATAGTTTTGTTTTTTGGAAGCAGATGTTTTGTGGGGGGGAATAATGGACTCCAAGGTCAAATAAGTCTGGGAGACTGAGTTAAACAAAGAAAAATAAGTTTCATTAAGTCTAAAAGACAACTTATAGGAACATTAATAAACGAATATGCTTTATGAATATCCAAGCAGGGTATATGTAACATCCAACATTTCCTCTGGATTCTTTTTTAAAAACACAGAACATGTATTAACATCTTTCAAAGCTGCATAGAACTCAGTTTTGGAAATACTAATGTGGAGAAATTGTCAAGTCCATTCACTGTCTGTCCTTCTTAATAAATTGTATAAAATATCGGAAAGAAAACTTGTGAAAAAAAAATAGATGTAAAGTTCAATGAGTTATAGACACAAAATTAGCACTAATATACCATGTGCTATTAGTTACCTCCTAGATATCTTATAAATTCTAGTGTGTAATCACTTGGGATAAAATACAGTTTTTAATATAACATTGATCATCTAGTGCTTGTATGTTTTAGCAGATGTTAAATGTGTAGCTTTGTAGAAAGGATTAAAAAGCGATAAAAATGTTTGAAACAGGAATGAAATTGTTAGAGTAAACCCAAAAAAGTACTAAAATGTTTGTTATGTATTGTATTAACAGTAAAACAAAATGATAAGTAGTCAAGGTTAGAATAACCTATACAAAATTTTAGTCATTTAAGATATGGGCCCAGTATCTTAAAAGAACAAACAATCTTGATAAATGGGTTTAGTTTCCTGTTTTTTTTTTTTTTTTTTTTTAGCATCATTGGTTTCCCTTTTAATTCAGAAATATTTCTCCCATTTTTAATATTTACAGGGCTATAGGAGATCTTAGCAAACAAATATTAGGCTAAAATTTCATTATCCAAAGCTTATGTACAAGTATTTCCTTGGTAGAGAGGAAAAATATTTTGGTAACTACTGGATGTGTCTTTTTATTTTTGAAAGTTACAAACGAAAGAAATACGTACATTTTAAATTGGGGAGGGATTGTTGGTATTGTTTATGAAGTATTGTTTTTATGTTTGTATTCTAGGCTTTTTTGTCCAAGGTTTTCCTAAACTCTTGAGGTTTCAAGAACATCATGAAAAAATACTGAATAAATTTCTGTCCAAGCTTAAGCAACACTTGGTAGGTAGATGTGACACTGACTTACACCCACATACCCCAAGATAAAAGCTAGAATAGTTAAATTCAGTCTTTGGTCTCAATTACCTTATTAATTTCTAGTGTCATCCATTTCATTTATTGTGCAATTATCATTTCCAATTGTTCGAAAAACATTCCATTTGTAAAATTTAATATTGATGAACTATCATGGTCGTAATTCATAGACACAAACTAACTTCTTTGAAGCTGATAGATACAGACAATACAGTGTTTAAAGATATGTAATTTCTCAGTTATTTTGAAGGGTTTTTTTATTGCACAAAAAGTACTAAAGGGTCATACAAACTTGTTGCTAGTGAACTGTATGCTTTACTATAAAACACAGTTTAGTAAAACAAAAATAGCTCACTATAAAATATAGAGAATCTAATCTAAATATATTATAATCCTATCATAAGAGGAATTTATTCTTGGAATGATTCTGAAAAGTAAAATTTTAGGAGAAAAGTTAAGAATAGAAAAACAAAAAGCATGAGAAATATTTGTAACAAGATGGTTTTATGTTTAGCTTTGACATTTACCTCCAACAGCCTTCCTAACTTTTAGTATTATATTGTCATAATTTGTTTGCTGTAATCCAGAAATTATGAGATCTTTGTTTTTTTAGGATTCTCAAGAAATCTACACAAGTTTTTACACAATGAAATGGTTTTTTCAGTGTTTCCTTGATCGTGTAAGTATTTATTTACAAAACTCAATCATAAAATGATAACTGTATGGTGAGGGGAAACTGTTAACCTTATTTCTGTTTTGTTTTGCTTTTAATTATAGACTCCCTTTACACTAAACCTCAGAATATGGGATATCTACATCTTTGAAGGAGAACGAGTTCTTACTGCTATGTCTTACACAATCTTAAAATTACACAAAAGTAAGAAAATGCTTAACTATAAAGATTTCATAAAAATCAACACTTATTTTAACTCTGATTTCTCATTCCCCACTGTACTTAAAATTCATTGTCTTTTAATAGTGGTTTAAAAAAATTCTTGAAAATCAGTGGAGAAATTATCTTTAATTGGTAATTTACTGTCATTGTTTTTTTTCTCATGACTAGAAGCTTTACTACATTGCAAAGGTCTGTGATTCTTTCCTCTTTATATCAGTTGCATTTTCACACTTAAGCAGTAGTATGAAATTTATTGATTTAAGATGAATAATAATATTCTTCTTAAAAACATTTATTTATTTATTAGAGACAGGGTCTCCCTCTGTCACCCTGGCTGGTGTGCAGTGGTGTGATCACCACTCTCTGTAACCTTGAACTCCTGGACTCAAGTGATCCTCCTGCCTCAGCTTCCCAAGTAGCTATGACTACAGGCATGTGCCACCATGCCTGGCTAATTTTTTTATTTTTTGTAGAAATGAGGTCTCACTATGTTGCCCAGGATGGTCTTAAACTCCTGGCTCAAATGATCCTACCACCTCAGCCTCCCAAAATGCTGGGATTACAGGTGTGAGCTACCGTACCTGGCCACACTAATAATAATTCTTATTAAGTATATGTTTACACTGGACTCCTTCTTTCATCATTCTGAATCTCAAGTTTGTAATAGGAAAAGACCAAAGAAGCCTGGCCCCTTAGTTAAAAGGGCCAATGAGGATATTTGCTAGTACTGTTTCCTTCATCCAGGGAAAAAAGCACCCAGCTCCCCCAAGCTGTAGGTGGGAACTTACAGATCTGTCTGTCTGCTTGATGGCATAGTGGCCTCTGGGGCAAGCACAGTGTCTTTCAGGTGCATAAATGCAGCAGGTTTTTTTCTTAAAAAACAAAAAACTGAAGACTTTTCAGTTGCAGTATTTCAAGGGCTCTGTAAATTTGACACATTATGCCTTACTTTAATATCAATAAATGAGTCTTATTCTTCTTTAAAGCCTCAATTCAACCTTAAAAATTATGCGACTTCTCTCATAGCTATGCAAAGAAAATCATTGAAAGCTTTAAAACTTCATCTAGTACATACTTCTTATCTAGGTTTTACCACGTTTTCACTTTCGTTGTACACTCTACCCTCTTAACATTATACTTGAATGATCTGTTCAGCTTCCCAACTAAATTACAAGCTAATTGAGTGCGGGGGGGTCATGTTTGTAGTTCTTCTCTCTGCTGTGCTTGGCATTGTTCTAAGTACCCATTAGGTACTTCCATAGAAGATTGTTTGGTTGCTTACTTGAAAAGCATGAACTTCAGGAGTGTCAGATTAACTATACTTTAGACAGGAATGAGAACACCCTTTAAAAGCACCTTTGTATTGTTTTACTTTTTTCAACAGAAGGATTCAGAAGTGTTGTGGTTCATTTCCCCACACTCACTCCTTGTTTCCTCAACACACAGACGAAAGCACCGAAACAATACAGTTAACAGCAAATCAAAGTTTTCCAAGACTCAGGGCTCTGTCATATGATCATGTGAAGTTTCTTTCTTCTTCTCCTCCTCCAGCTCCTTGTCGTCTTTACTTCTTTTCTGTCTTTCTGGATTATGAACGGATCAAATTATAGAACAAAAGTATAATTTTAAAAAAAATGTTTTTTCTTTTTCCTTTTTTTTTTTGAGTCAGAGTCTCACTGTGTTGCCTGGGCTAGAGTGCTGTGGCATCAGCCTAGCTTACAGCAACCTCCAACTCCTGGGCTCAAGCGATCCTCCTGCCTCAGCCTCCCAAGTAGCTGGGACTACAGTCATGCGCCACCATGCCAGCTAATTTTTTCTCTATATTTTGAATTGGCCAATTAATTTCTTTCTATTTTTAGTAGAGACGGGATCTTGCTCTTGCTCAGGCTGGTTTCGAACTCTTGACCTTGAGCGATCTGCCTGCCTTTGGCCTCCCAGAGTGCAGAATTACAGGCGTGAGCCACTGAGCCCAGCCTAGAAATTTTTATTAAGAGATATTAGTTTAATGTTCCCTAAACAGTGAGAAGGGGAATATTGCGACATTTCTTTGTAGTTCCCTTCTTCCTCTTAAATTGTTTTACTTATATGACCCTTGATTATTTTTGACAAGTAAAATGTTTCTTTATTCTTTGTAAACTTTCAGCATAGCGGTGATGATATATCAGAGGTGATGATATATCAGCATGATTTAACCATTCCACAATGTATATGTATATCAAAACATCATTATATACCATAAATATGTACCGTTTGTCATTAGCCAATTAAAAAACAAAACAAAAACTGTTTTTGGGCATCTTAACACAAATAGTTAGCTGATACTTATAGAGGTTTTTTTTCTTTTTCTTTTTTCATTTTTGCCTTAAAAATACTTAGAGACATTGTTATTGGAGGCTTATCACACAGTGGTTTTAAATAATAAAAAATCAGAAACAGTCTAAATGTCTATTATTAGAAGACTGTTTAAGTGAATTATAATATACATACAATGCACTCATAGCTTATTAATCAGGATGTAAAATCATATTTGTTGAAGTGAGAGATGATACATTATTGAATGGGGAATAAAGCAAGAAGGTGAATAACTTGAAAAGTATAATTTAGTTTTGTAAATTGATACACTTTAACACATATAAATACATCTACTTGTAGGGTATTGCATAGTGGGATCTTAGCAGAATTTCACTTTCTTCTTTGTGTCCGTAGTTAGTTTGAAAAGATCTTTCAATAAAATGAATTTTATAACTAGAAATAAAACTCACAAAATTAATGGTCCAGATTTTTTGTAAATTCTGAAACAGTAATAAATATAGACTTAAAAGTGGATTTGCCTCTTTTGCTCTGTACAAATAGAACAGAAAGGCCTCCTGTCCTCCTGGGTGATCTCTGTATGTTGTCTAGGAAGTTCTTGGTCTCATTAACATCAGCGCTTAGGTATGGTTACTCTTAAACCAATGAGAAGGTATTTGGCAATAGTCTCCTCTCCATTCCCCCCCCCCAAGATTACCTGCTTTCTCTGTGATCACTTTAACATCAGAGAATATTTTTGTCTTAGTGAGTTATAATGATATTCAAAATGCCATATGTAAGTTGTATACTGTATATACTCTTTTATAAAAAATACTATACCTGAATAGAATATATTTTCTTTTCAACCTAAAGTAGCTGTTGACTCAGCTTTTATATTTCTCTCATTTGTTCTTAGAACATCTAATGAAATTGTCTATGGAAGAACTTGTAGAATTTCTTCAGGAAACCCTGGCAAAGAATTTTTTCTTCGAAGATGACTTTGTAATAGAACAACTTCAGATTTCTATGGCAGAACTAAAGCGGGCGAAATTAGACCTTCCAGAACCTGGTAAGAAATACCGACCCACTTTATATCTACATAGAAATTAAGATTGGAGACATGGCGCAGTTAACATGGGTCATTTCCTTTTCAAAGCATAAGCATGACACTTGTGGTGACTTCATGGAAAAACAACGTCCTACCAGCTGCTTATGGCTCTTTTTCTTATTTTAAGGCAAGGCAAGTAAACATAGTAATTAAATCTGCCTCTTCTGATAGAATAACTGTCCTATTCCTCAGTGAATTTATAAATTTGGTTGACAGAAGTAACCATGGTGCTTTAAACAAGCATAATAACAAGTACTTTTTGCTTTCATCATCTCATTTTGTGAAACCATATATACTAGGAAAGCATGTAAAAGCCCTATTTTATAGATGAGGAAACTGACACTTAAATGCTTAAATATGAAGCTAGAGAACCACCAAATAGTATTACTGAGACTGGAGTCCAGTTTTTCTGACTACTAACTCTTTGCAGTGTGTTGCAGTGTAGATAATATATTTTATTCACTTATTACAGAACATTTTTCAGCCCATCCTATTAGGTTGTCTGTAGATGCTCTGCTGAGGATTGAAAAACTGAAGAGAAAGATGTGTTTCTAGCTCTACTGGTGCACACAGGAGAGACAGAATTTATACAAGTGATCACTGGTGGTGTGTGAATGGGCAGTAACAGTTCTAGACACAGGATAAGTGGGAGACGGTCAGGGGAAGAGGAGTAGAGGATGAGAGAGAAGAGCAAGAAATTGCAGAAAGATCACAGTGGGAATCACTCTGAGGAGTTTTGATCAGATAGTCCTTGACAATGTATGATGCCCTGAGAAAGTTATTTCTGCCTTTTTCCTTTCTTACCTTTATTGCAGTGGGTGGGTGTGGTAAGAGGTGAGGAAGTGGAAGATCATGGGTGAGGGATGGAAACTAGAGAAAGTCAGTTATTCGTGCCTTCGGGCAGAGGAGGATTTGGCATTTCCCAATCAATGGGTCATCTTGGCTGTGTCTGTACAGAAGGATGAACAGAAGTACCTTCACGGAAAATACGTTTTTCACTTCGGTAAAAACCAAGTTTTTTTGTTTTTTACTGAAAAACTTGCTCTGCTTTTATTTATTTAATTGAGAGGAGTCTAATCAGTACTTCTGGGAGGTTTGTTTGGGTGATCAGGATCCTAGAAAGCAAAACCGTAGCAATAATTAAGTGTGGGCAGAAGCCTTGCTGAAACACCGCCTTTGCTAAGTGAGGTCAGCCCTGTCTCGTTCAGTATAATAATGTCCATTTTCTGCTAATTTTTTCCTGTATCAGAAAATGCATTTGGAACAGCAATTATTATACTCTTGCTACTTTGACATTTATTTTCAAATATCATGCCTCCTTTTAAAAAGAATTTGAGACAAGTTTTAGTAAAAGAGTCATATAGAAAAAAAATATATATTGGAGGACTATTTAAGCATGAGATTAAAATCCAAAACCTGTGTAATGGATTGGGATAATGGTGATTTAACATCTAATTAGCAGTGAATATTTAGTGAATGCTTACTGTATGCTGTGTGCTACAGGTGCTCTCTCATTTAAACCATAAAAATAAAAAAAAAGTGCTTGTCCATATTTTACAGATGAGGAAACTTAGTAGTAGTAGTTTGTAAGATCTTTTTACTAGGAAATGATAGATGTGGAATGGGGCAGGAGAGGAAGGGAAGAGGAATAAATAATACCAGAGACATTGGCTAATTTTGCGCCGATCGTACCGGCAGTTAGGGTGGACTGTAAGGCGGCTCTGCATTTTCTAGCACAGTGATGCCCTTCATCTGTAGTTCTTCTTCTCCTGCAGCATTTACTTTTGGGACTTTCTGCCTCTTGGCCTGCCCATTACTGTCCTCTTTGAATTATTGTGAACTATATATGGAACACTCAAATAATTGAACGAACATTGTACCAAGAAATCTTAATGTCACATCTGTCCTCTTAAAGGCATCCATGAACATGTTCATTCTTTTTTACTCATTACATACTGCGTCAGTTCGCACTCCCACCAGGAACTGCGACAGGGCCTGCTTTCCTAGACCCACAGAAGATTATGGTGCTGTTAAGTTTCTTGCTTATTGGATAGAGTATTCCATTGTTGTTTTGATTTGTATTTCTTTAAAGTTGAGTCTCTCTCTTATATATTCATTAGGCATTTAAATTTCTTTTCCTGGGAACTTGCCTGTTCATCTGCTGCCCATTTTTCTTTTGGTCTATTCATGTGAGTTCTTGGCAGGTTAAGGGATTGGCCAGTTTATTATGTGTTATAAGACACTTTCCATACAGTTTTCTCTATGGTTTCTTGCTTTTATGTCTTATGTCAAGAATTTTCCACATGCTGGATGAAGGGTTTTTTTTTTTTTAATTACCCATATTTCTCTTGTAGTATTTTTATTTTTTGTTTTTAAATCTTTTTTTAACAGCTTTATTGAGGTATAATTGAGTATGATTAAATCTTTAGTTCATCTAGATTATTTTTTGTTGTGGGATAAGAACTCAGCTTTGCTTATTTTCCAAACAGCTAGCCATGTGGATGAACGGCATTTGTTACATTGTATTTTGGCACTGCATTCGGTTCCACACATCTCTACTTTTCCAGTTACGCATAGTTTTTGTTATCTATTAAGGCAAATATTCCTCTATTACCATTCCATTTGCCACAGTATTAATAGCTATTAGGGCAAAAATCCCTTTGTTACATTGTGTTATTTTGTCAAGTTGCAAAAAAGTGTCCGCTAGTATTTTAGCAGTAATTAGTAAAATGTAGTATTTTACTGGGATTGGGGTTGCACTGAATTTAAAGATTTTTGAGAGAAAGTGGATACCTTAAAAATTGAGTTTTTCTAAGTAAAAGATTTTACTTTTTATTTAAGTATAATGTCCCTCGGGAGAGTTTGTTTTCTTCGTATGACTATTGTACATTTCTTACCTCTGCACCCCACTCCACCCATGTACCGCACAGAACCTGGCCATCAGCAGGTGGTCATTAGACAGGCCCAGGTGCACTGCCGACTGGCCGTCTCACCGCAGCCCTGGTGCACGCGAAGTTCACGGCCACACTTGCATGGAGGTGGCCAGGTGGGGGCTCCACAGAGAAAGACACAGGCAGAGTGAAAGCTGGAGGTCCCTCAGTGGGGGGTAATTTTATCTTTTTTATTGCTATTGTAAGATTCTTTTCTTCCACTGTTTTCAAATGGGTTAGGAAAACTTACGGTATCTTTTTAATATCATTTTCATAGCCAATATATTTCATCCATTCTCTTAGGGTTTCTGAGATTTTTAGATATACAAGCATATCTTCAACTTTTACATTTAGGGGCAGATTTTCTTCTGTAACAGAGAGCTCTTTCCTCCCTCATCAGCAGAGGCTCTTTGGTTTACCTTAAAATGTAGTTCCCACTGAAAAGGCAGAATATAATGTTTAATTTTTTTCTCTTTACTCTTTTCCCCCTCTGCTGTCCTCTACTCAAATGAGGCCATTCGGCAGAGCTGTTGTCAATTAGCAGAGGTCATTCTGGTTAGAAAGCCCATGTTGATCCATGTGACTGCCAGTTTGGCCAGATTTATAGCTTACAGTCTATGCAGAAGAATGGAAAGGAGATTTTTCTTAGAATAATTGACAGAGCCAGTTTAATCTTGTCCAGACCCTTCAGGGCACTTCAGTGCTTACAGGAGAAGATCCAAACTCCTTAGCTGGGCATACAACATTCTCTTCTGGTCTATTTGTTTTCATACTTCATCCATCCTACCTCCCCAACCACTTTTGGGTAACATAGTAGCAATAATAGCAGCATACTTTGAGTCTTATGTGATCGATTTTTGCGAAATACTTTGCACACACATATTAATTCACTATTTTCCAACAGCCTTTTGAAATAGGTCTTTGTTGACGCATGTATTTTTAAATCAATAACTCAAGGACAATTTTCTATGCATAGGATTACTTAGGTTTTTAAAGTTAATGTTCTATTTACTAAAGTTACAAATTAAGAAACCGAGTTCCTCTTTACCTTTAATTCAGTTTACAAAAGCATAATATTTTTAAATCTAGCAAATTTTAACATTGTCTTCTAAGGGAACTTTAGTTATTGTTTGATTCCATTTACAAACAAACTCCTACAAACATTTTTAATTGCATTTATGAATTTAATATATCTAATTGCCTTTAAACATATCAGTTTTTCCATAAAAAAAACTCCCTAGTTCTAAAATAAATCTGACTAATTCAAACTTACGAATATACAGATCCTTAAGTCTCTTAAATGTTTCAATACTATTTGTAAGTTTAAAATCTAAAGTTAAAATCAATGGCTCATTTATATATTTTAAGTTGGTATGAAAAGGCAAAGTCGACCACCTTCTCTGAAATATAAATATGTAATACATGTATTATGATACTAAACACAGATACTATAATGCAAAAAAATACAGAATTAATCATGTGTTTGAGTCTCTTAAATGTTTAGACTTTCAGGAATAAAACTCTAGTCTTAGTTGTAGACTTTCAGGAATAAAAAGGTATTTTTTCAGGTAAATTTGGGGGGCATCGTCTCAGTCAGTTGAAATATGAGCTGGAAGAGCAGCCGCGTCTCCTCCATGTCCCCAACGGTCAGGCTGCGCTGCCTTCTGTCGCGTCTAGGCGGGTGCCGTTACGGGAACCCTTAGATTCTGGTCTTGCACTACCTAATTCTTCCTCCTCTGCAAGGAAGTCTGCGTCTTCCCAGCCGGGAGGGTTGGATTTTGCATTTCTTTGGTCTTTCCCTTTTACTTTTAGAGATCTTTGAGCCTGATGGAATTCTCTGTTCTTCCCATTCGTTTCTTATTTGGTAGGGCCATAATTCATACATTAAATGGCATTTATTTTTTTAAATGGCATTTGTTTTAATTTTGAATAGTTTTTATGGTTATTCTGTCATCAGTATCATTATTAGTAGCGTATAGATGAGAAAACTTGAACTTCAAGGCTCAGTACGTGCCCAAGGTCAGACAGCTG